ATCTTCATTGCTAAATAATAGTAATAAGATCTAGTAAACAATTTACTATCGTAATTTTTGCAAATTTTTGTATCTTTAAAATAAAAATGTACTTGTCATATTTAGGCCAAATAGACTAAACGGGTATGCTATAATAATATGAAAAAAATATTCCAAGAGTATAGTGATAATGTTAAAAAAATAACAATACTAGCTAAGGTATTCAAAGACAAAACCGGAAACCGAATCACGTAATTACTGGGTCGCTCTTTCTTGAGTTTTAATATGACACATTAAAATTATGAGTCATTATAATGAATAATATAAATAATTTTCATACTTCGGAACACTTTATTTTTTTATTTTCAACGAAGAGTGATTTTAGTTAGGTATATAATTTAGTCAGTGAAATATACAACATTTTTAGCATGCTGTTTAGCCTAAGTCAAACTTTCAATTATAAGGTTTTGTTGAAGTAAATTAATTCAATCAGTAATATTTAAATAATTTTTAATTGAGCTACCTCTTTACCAATAGAATTTTTATTGTTAACATAAAGGTTATTTTATTTTTAGTCCAAACCTTTGATGTGAACATACCATACCTTCTCTCGGGAAATATACTATTGTATTTCTGATTTATTCATTGTACCATTGATTATAAATACGGATTGTACATTTTTCTATATTAATGTGAAAAAAAGTAATTCTTAATCTATGCTACGATTACAGTTCATTCAATTGGTAATTTCATTGTTCCATCCTGTGCAGGATGTATGTATTGAATATATCATTCGAATACTAACTAAGTACTATATTCATATCTACGCCTTATGCAATTTATTTAATTTGGACTCGTATGCTTCGCTGTGTCATTGGAATATTCGATCATTGTGGTGGCTAACATGTCATCATCATTTCTGTTTAGTAACACTTCTATAGCTATACTTGATAAACATTTATTTGTATCGGATACCAACGATTATGAACGAGCGGTAATTGCAATTTGTAGGAAAGTGAAATTATTAAGATAATATAGTGCATACAGATTAAGGTTGTATGGGTACGTGTTTAAATATATCAGTTAATTAGTACAACTATATTTCTGCAAAGCATTTTAATATAATTAGTAATTATCGAGTTGAAACGAGGTATGCAAAATTGAAAATATATAACTAATTAAAAATATACAATATATAGATTATTACCTATTATTATTAATCTAGGTATGTGCTTTACAAGTAAAATTAATGAACCATTTTATTTTAGTATTTTTTCTCATTATTGGGAAGTATTTTTATAGTAATATTCGTAAAGAATAAACTAGCTAAAATAAATATAAATATATTTATGTATCTGTACAATTTGTATTTTATAAATAAAACATAAATCTAAATCTTACAAGGACGTCTCACCCGCATTTGTTATCTTCGTCATACAAGTGCGTTTTTAAATTTTAATACTTATCACACTTAAGTTATAACTCATTTAAAATAAAAAATATCAGAAAAAGCTTCAAATAAACCACAAACAATGTTGTTATCATTAGGTTTGATGTAATAGATTAATTCACTAAACTTGAACTACTGCACTTTAATTTGGTGTGTTGAGCTCTGAAAAGATGGTAACAACAAATTGGGTCAGACATTCTCTTAAAATATCTTAATTTCAATTATAATTCCGAAACGTATTTTTCATTAAGTACCCTATCATATTATACTCACACTATTATTTTTATCATAAATTACAAAACAATTGATTGATTTTAAAACTATAAATGTACCTATCTACTTGATATTTTATTGAGTTTTGTAATAAATCTTTATTTCAGCTGTCGTATATATATGTTCCTGAAAGGAGTATAGTTTTTCCAATATAATCCGTATATTCTTATATTAATATCATAATTATTTTTGAAATAGTACGTCACTACTTTCTGTATCATATTTCTATTTTGTATTATTAATAAAATAGTTTTTCTATTCAATGAAAATATATTTGATGTTTGAAATAGTTTCCAGAATCACTGTTTGATATAAGATTTTATATTATCATACATATAGCTTTTAGAATATTTAGGTATAGCGGGATTTATAGCTAGAATAAAAATGTTTAAGAAAATGCCACACCCGCCTGACGTATTTGCCTCTGTCTAACACACATACAATATAACAAATTTGCATTCAGAAGTGCAATACATTTTGCGTTGTTAAAGTGAATTGACCTATTATCACATTTTAAGGTAAGAAAAGCGAATTACGTGCATTTTAAGTACTTTGGATTGTTTAAGTACCTACTTGCAGCTCTTTAAAATTAAAGCCTACGAGATGCAAAAATATTGGTTCTGAAATACTGAATACAAATTTTCTATATGTCGAAATATTGTACGTTGGTAAGACGGAGACAATATATGCTGGTGTGGTTTTATCTGAATTAAAGAGTTCTGAATACTAACAAGTACATACATTTTTTTGAAAATCTTGATCTTTTCTGTAATTATCAAAAAAAAAATTAAAATACGTCAAACTAATTACTTATTAGTTATACATTTAAATTAAATTTATGTATGTCATATTAAAATTATTATATGTATTCATAAGTTAATATTTCGTGATAATAATTTCTCATAAAAAATAATTTTACTGTAATTCAAAATGTATATTTATTGATCCAATGTATGGATAAAATTTAGTCATTTAGTCATTTAGTGATAAGAATATTATCTGTGTTTTCTCAGAAATTTTTTTCGGTATTATAATTTTAAAGTGACTTAAAGTAACATTTTCAAAACGCAATTTTAAGAATGTTGAAATAATAAAATAGTACTATAGAACGTTTCATAAATTTAATTAGAATATTTAAAAACCAGGTATGATACCTACAGAAATTTTAATTTTTAGACTATCTTCACTTAACTCACCTTTTTAAGCGCATCACTGTAAATAATAATAATACATCTGAGTAGTTTATGATATAGAACTTCAGTTGTTTGCATTTCTTCAGAATTGTCCGTCGGTTGTGTACTCTTTGGTATTGTTAGCTCGTATGCATTTGGAAAATACAAAGGAGACAAAAAATTACCTCTTCTAAGTACTATCTAAAATACTTTTCTGATCTTAAACATTATTGTGAACCTTACACATTCCTCTTTGCTCAGAATTTAAAATTGCATTGTTGAATATGCAGTTATCTTAAATTCATATTTAAATTTAACTGATAATATGCAATTTTCACCATAATTATTAATTGGTTATTAATAATTGAAACATATTATTAAAAATTAAAAAGAATTAGCTATTGAATTGTAAAAATATTTATAGTTAATTGTTATTAGTTGAAATTAGTTTTTCTTGAAAATGCACTTTTATCTAAAAAAAAAAAGTGTAACTATATTTTTTAGGACTAAAATGAAGATCGGAACGTTAAAGAATATTATTTCTATAATTGTATGTAATTTTAATTGTGTTGTTCGTTGTTACGACATCATGCTCAGTGCTCGCCATAATGCCTATGAAAAACGTTTTGATTATTTTATTCTAATTTATAATTTTACAGCTAGAAAGTTGATTTTTTAAGGTTTTTCAATATATGTATTGTCTTTATGCATCTCAACGGGGGTGAAAAACGTGGACGAGTTATTTACTATGGAATTCGTAGAAACAACTTATTTTGCATAATATTAAAGCATAATTTGGAGTTTATTCAGCCTATACATATATACATATATATATATATATATATATTATATATATTATATTTAAAAATATATTGTATTATTGTTTTGTAAAAAACCAATCATATTTCTCGAATTGTATTTATTTCGTTACAAAAAAAAACCGCTTTAGTAATGATTTGTAGATACGGAGTTTGATATTAGGGAAAGTGTATTTGTTAGAGATTAGAGGTTTGAGGATACGAAAACGGTTGTTCAGTGATAGTCTTTTTGCTCTAATATGGTGGACTCATGTTAGTCTTTTGTCTATCGTAAGACCAGGATACTTAACTGCAGGAGAGGATGGGATTCGGTACACCGTATAGAGTTACTTCAGGGTAAGGAGCTGGTCTAAGTGTTATGGTGGTGTGCATAGACTTGTTATGATTGAATTTGATTCTCCATTTAGTATACCAATTCTCCATTGTTTGGTGTGCATTGATGGAAGCTTATATATAGCTCATCGACGCATACATAAAGGCTCCTAATGAGGTATAAAAATACACTTGAATACTGTACGAGTATAGGTACCAGAAGATACTAGTATAAATGACAATTTTTTTTAAAATATTTTTGAGGATTGGGACATCTGAGTCTAATATAATCTATAGATAATGAGCTACCAGGAAAATCTCGATTTCCTGATGGGCTTTTCAGCCCATGTAGGTAGCAACTGGTGGATGAGGAAAAAGTGAGTAGAACCGGTGATTTATACTTTGAGACTATAGTTGTTCTACTAAGATCGTGAATTATAACATCAGATGTCAAAGTTAATATTGCTTGCTCTTTTAAATATTTTTTCTTTTTGATTTTTTGTAAATAGTACATTAAATATAAATGTATTTATTAGTTTTAATTACTAAAAATGTATAGGAATAATCATAGACGATTTAAAGTTATGTTTGAATATAATCAAATGTGAAAAATACATATTTAAATACTATAATATTTTTCATCCTTCCCTCTTTTATACAGGTGAGGCTGAGCCTTACTTGCTTTACGCGGTGAGCGTCAACTGGAATGAAAGCCTTTTTGAAACTAGGATATGATTTTCTATATAATTAGAGAAGAGCATTAGTATTTTTTTCTTAGTTCAATATTTTGAAATGGTTGTATTCTGTTGGTATTCGGCGTTTTAATTTTCAACAGTGGGTACCTCATAATTTTATGTTGGAATATGAAATTCTATGTAATGAATAATGATTTAAAATTAATGATTCTCCGCATAATTTTTAAAGCAGCTTTTTTCTATATTGAAATAGGAATTTTATATTACTAGGTTTATATAACTGAATATTTGTAATTTTCAGGTGGAATGACTGACCAAATTGATAATCAATTCAATAATTATGCATTTATTGAACCTAAATTATTTAATGCAAGACATAAAAGAGAGATTCAATCAACCAAAATAAATCCGGTAAGTTATTAGTTTATTTTAAATTCTATGGGAATAATAATACTAATATTGTTTGTTTATCCTTATTGTTTTGTGTAATTTTTATAAACTGTAATCAATAACAAATTTATAAATACAATTATTTCACAGTTATTTAAGCAATGTAAATCATTAAAAAATATATTATTCAAATTATTTTATTTATGTAACTGGGTTTCCGATGTTTTAGTAATTATAGTGAGTAGTTCAATCACATGGATTATGTTATAACTGATAATTCCAACAGTACAATAATGACTGGTTGAATTGAATGTACATTTTAAATCCGTGATAATTATTATTGTGGGGGACGAGGTGACCGAGTGGTCTGACTCTTCCGCTGCGACGCAGCCGGTCGCGGTTCGATCCTCGGCCACCTTTTGGCATTTTTTTCCGGACAAGTCGCGGTGACCGGAGAGCAAGTGCTGCCATCCCCCACCCCCGGAGCATGGCAGAAACCTACGGGTGCCCCATTCGAAATTCTGCCAAAACAAACACACACGTGTTCCCCCTACCGTTCCAAAAACCTACAAAACCATCAATACAAAAACCTACAGTACCTACTAATAGCTAATGGCCACAGTTGCCGGGCTCAGGATCAATAAAAAAAAAAAAAAAAAAAAAAATTATTATTGTATATTTCTTGATTACATGCCTATTTTACATCACTGGATATTATATAATTATTAAAAGTCTGTACAGTATTAAACTATTTATTATTTACCCAGACAGATAAGATTTAATTGAAGACTGATTTCAAAGTTTCAAAAGTTTGTTTAATTGTCCCTACAAATACTCTTGAGACAACTTGATATTTTCTTCTCCACCTCACGGAAAAACATTGAATCATATTGTATACCTATATGTTTTCTAAATTATGATTATAAAAGTGCATCAACGACGATGCTATCTTAATTCGTAACGTAATTATCAGGGATATTAGCCGGGGACAACCTTAAAAAAATTCCGTTTACGAAAAAAAGGAAAAGGAAATTGAATATCTTATAACAACTTATTAATAAAGGAATCGATTTTAACTCAAAATACGTACCTATTATAACTACTGAAAAACATTTTTGACACATGTTCAGAATATAATTATTGAGTTGAAAAATCCAATATTGAGCACATTTGATGATATTATGTAGATTACTTTAAAGAATATAAAAAATAAATTCTTGTGAGTTGTGGTTAAATATTGAGAGTTGTGAGTACAATAAAATTAATAAAACCTTTGATTTCAAATAAAACATTAAACAAGGCAGGATAATTTGATGAATTGCCATAATCACAAGTATTTTTCAGAAAAATAAAATATAAAATTCCTTAACATATTCGATGATAAATGGTCAGATATTTTTTCAAACCGTTTGCATTGAAGTCAATTTTTCAAATTTAAAAATTATTATTACATTTCTTTTATGTATTCCTGGAACGTCGTTAAGCTTATATTTTCAATTATGAACAATTCATTGACTAAAAAGAAGAGCAGAATAGACGTTGGGAGTGTTAGGACTATGCTAGCTTGGTTGTAAAACACTAACAATTTCGAGAATTTCATGATCTTTTGTTTGGAAATTAAGTATCAGTAAAAAAAAACACTCATCCGATAAATGTTTATCAAAAATTACGTCAACTGTGTTAAGACACTGAAGTTTCTAAAAATTGATGTTATTGTCGTTTTTATCACTTATTAGTTCCTAATTTTTGTTATTATAAAAAAATTGAAAATTAATATGATTTAAACTAGTACAATAAGGCTAGGTTCACATGGACGCTCGTACACGCGCGTCGGTTAATCGTGCGTATTTAGATAATATGCGAGTGTCTTATACATCGTTCACATGGACAAGATTCTATTTCCGCGCGTAGACGCGCGTGGCTTCGCGAAATTGAATACTGTTGATTGTTATCGGACCCGATTTACGAAATAATATACAGTTACCAAGTATGGTGATATTATTTATTTGTTATTTATTTGACTAATATTATTATTACTTGTTGTTATTTAATGACGATTATATTTGAATTAATTCTATTTTTTATTACATTAAATATTAAAAAACTGTTGTTGATACTAATGTTGCTGTTTATAAAAAAAATCAAATATATTAAAAAATAACATACTTCTCCAAATTTTTTTTCATACTATATTTATAGGTTTTTGATTAAGCCACACCTTAGCTCCCTCCGCCTTTATCAAACCATTATACGTAATTAAAATTTACTCGAGTCATTGTACTTACACAAATAGCTAACCTTATCTTAGAGTTTTCGAAATTCTAAATGCTCACGTTAGGTATATTAAGATTTTTAAATGTATTATTATTTTTTATTAGAAAGGAGAAAATATCCATTATTTTAAATATGTATAGTTAAAAATTATATTTAAAATTTTTTAAAGTTTCTATAATTTAAACCTATCTGTTATAATATAGTATTTGATATTTTGATGTTATGCGCTGGTACAGCAGATGATTCATAAATTATTATAATGTGTATTATGCTGCACCTGCAGCAAGTTTTTGTTGGCGTGTAAACAAGTTGAAGAGCAGAACCAAAATGGGTACCTAGTTATATTTATAATAATATTATATTAAAACTAAAATTTCGAACCAGTTGTAGTAAACCATAGTTTCCTTGTTTCTGATGCATTAGGTATAGGTATAATTATGCATTTTAAAATGCACATTTAATCTGCACACTGTGATTTATTGAGAACAACTATAATTTGTTACTATTCTTTTACGTGATGACTTATCTGTGAATTTTGATCTTCAATGCCGATTTGCAACGATGAATGGTCGTTGGAGTTTGGAGATTAAAACAATTAATCCAATTTTAAACCATTAGATTGCTAGTGTGACTTTAGCCTTAGCGTGATAGGTAGCTTAATTATAACAAACCTCTGCAAGGACGATTCTTTCCACGTTGGATAATAATATATCAATAATATCGTTAAAAATATTTATCAGGTACCTTAACTTAATTAAAATATTGGCCGGTGATAACACAGCCTCTTAATTTATTACGTTATATATACTATTAGTTCTCGGGGACTCCAATGATTATATTATCTAAACATTATTAGCCAACTATCTGTATGAATTTAAGGTAGGGTTTCCGGTATTTTGTAATTACGACTACACTTAACCTTTATGTGTCTCTTAAGAAACTTTTAGACGACCCATAAATTGTTGAATTATAATATTTTATTGAATCAATAACAGTAAATGATAAGTTATTCACTAATTGTTGAACCAACATAAAATATTGATTGAAATGGGATTAAGATTGTCGGTAACCGGTACCTAACTCCACGTCTTAAATAAATGTAAGGATATACTATTTAAAATGTAACTATTTTAGTCATGGTTCATGACACATAGACAATATAATATATGTGAGCATACAATAATAATATTTCACCAGTTTTACATAAAAAGATTGTACATCTCATGTGCTTACAGCTTACTATAGTACTTTCTGGGTAAAATTATTATAATTTTAAATGCATTTATTAGTCTCCCCTGTATACATTTTAAAGGTACAAAAAATAAACATTAGATACGTACTGCTTTCGTACAATGTACATTGTACACGACGTGCTATACATTTTCAAAAACACAATCCAGCATTAACAATTTTTTTTTTTAATTACAAGATGGGTTACATTCAAATACCTCAACGATTCAAGTAATATATTATTATGCACCTTAAACACTAAGTATTAAATAAAATAATAATTCGAAATTCCAAAATAATATGAATTTATGATGTGACACAAAATTACTTAATTACATAATAACGGCAATATCGTATAATATTCTATAGTTGGTATGCATCATATATGCTCGTAAAAAAAGTTATGATTTAGGGTTCAAATAAAATATGTAATACAAGTTACAGCATTGTCATCTACTAATTTTGTATTGCGTGTATAATTATAATTTCCAAACAAAATATAGAGAATGCAGAAAAAATACGATGTAAAATAATAATTGAGTTGGTAGAATTTGAATTTATATTTTTTGCTTCTACTGAATTTGCAGGCTTTATTAAAATCTGTATTTAGGTTTTTATTTTCTCCAAATTACACACAAAGTTTTTAATTAAAGTTCTGTATAGTGCAATATCCCATAAAAAGACCAAACACGATCTTAAAATTGTAAAACTTTCCCTAAAAACTGTAAAATATTGAAATATACTCGATTTGTATACTCTTTAAGAAGTAGTAATTTTGTTCACACTTTCATGAAACATATTTAGTGCTTACTTAGCTGACGATATAGACATATCACATATATTTTTATCGACCTGTTAAAATATACAAGCCAAGCCCTAGTTATCTGTAAACCGTGTACTTACCACAGAATAATTATTTTGTGTACCTATCTATGTAGATTGTAGGTAACCTACCGTATTTATAAGTAGAGCCTCGTATCGTTTACCTTGAGGCTTTAAGAATAGTCTTTATTATTGCATCGTCTAAGATCTTCCAATCTTTGTACATGCACTTCAAGGACACCTCTGAACTGCTACATTGTCACTAATTCATCAGATTCAGAAAATTGTTGTCCATCCGTGTGAGTCACTCGACGAACAACGTACTCTTTTGAAAATGTAATATTTCTTTCCAAACATATAATTTCTATCATATAATACTGTCTGATTCATTATCAATAGCCAATAACAAAATGTAATCCAATATACTTTGGTAAAATAATATTACAACTTACTATAATATTTAAATGAATATTGGTTTTTAAAAAAATGTTGTATTCCTTTAAAAATGAATATAATTTATTCATAGTTATTTTATATTTAGTCATCCAAAAATTTTCCTTAGTGTGGTATTGAAATAAAAAAAACATGGACAATGCTTAATGATTCAAAAATTAATTTGCTGGACTGATGTTTGAACTTGTTTGGAACACAAAAAGTCTAAACCGATATTTTTTATCTATTTGTTTTGGGGGTGTCTTTTGGTCAGTCGCTTACTATTCTTTAATATATCTGAATAGTGAATACTAAATATCCATTAATTTTAAAATACAAATAATTATAACTCAATGCAAGTTACATTATGTCATATAACTCATGTAATGTGCGAGAAGTTAAATATAGATTAATATCGTCAATGTTATTATTTGTAATTAATTTGTTTCTGTTCTGCATTATGATTATATAGGTGAAAGCCACAGTAATTATTATCAATCATATAGCCCGACAAGATATCTACAATTTTAACTTTGACTATTGTATTTTACTCAATAACATTGTGATTTTTATTTTTTTGTTTTGTACTTTTGTAGAATGGCCTGGAGCATGCCCATGGTATTACCTTAATATTTGTCGACAAACAACAAGAATATATTATTGATCTCAGCCTCAATAGGTAAGTTAAGATATTATTTAATCAACAATAATAATAATAAATATAAAATTTATTTATTTTGTTACTTTTTACTATCTGCAGAGGACTAATTCCAGTTCATTATTTTGAAAAACATCAGAAAAATGGAGCTCATGTAATAAATAGACCAAAAGCAAACGTAAATTAATATTTTTATTACATCATAGAAGTTTAGTTATATTTACTAAATTTATAATTAAATTAATAGGAACTTGAATTTTGCAATTATAATGGTAAAATTCGTGATTTGCCAAATTCCTGGGCAGCAATTTCTACATGTGATGGCATAAGGTTATTATAATAACTTCTTATAAAGTAAAAGAATGATTAAATAATTAGACCCTATTATTTGTATAGAGGAATGTTTTTTGATGGAATTTCATACCATTATATTGAAAATGTTGAACTCAAATCAGGTGATAAGTACCATATTTTGTACAAACATGAAAATCTTAGAACTAATTATACCTGTGGTAAGTGATTGTAAAATTATTTTTTTGAATTTTAAGCATAAAGTTGTGTTTTTAGGATTTCCTAGTACTACTGAATTTACCTCTAACGAAATCAAATACGTAAGTAGATTTATTTTTAGCAATATTACTATGATATATTGATATAAGTCATGTATCATTGTACCCATAATAATTCTTGTAGAAAAAAAGAAACACAAGGTCTTTGAAGTCTTTGAAGCCTTTGAAGGGACCTTACAATCAAAATGACAAATCTAGATTTATTGAATTGGTAATTGTTGTTGACCAAGAAGAGTATAAGTCTTTTAATAGTGAACTGCCAAAAGTCTATCAGCATACTAAAGATATTGCAAATATAATAAATTCTGTAAGTTGTACTGTTCTTTAATATTGTAACATTGCATGAAATGTTATTTTTATTTATATTTTTTCAGCTTTATATACCACTAAACATATTCGTTGCGCTCGTTGGAGTGGTCGTGTGGACCGAATATAATGAAATTACATTAGTGTCAAATGGTGACACTACATTGACTAATTTCTTAAGCTATCGTCGTGAACATCTTGTCAAAGATCATCCTAATGATAATGCTCAATTACTAACGTACATATTATTCATTGAAAATCATAAATATTATATAATTTATTTATTGTTTTTTTAATTTTGATTTTTTCTTTCAGAAAAGTACAATTTGAGAACGGTATTGTTGGTAAAGCTTTAAAAGGACCCATATGTACTTATGAATTTAGTGGTGGTGTAAACAGCGACCATAGTTTTGTACAAGGTTTGGTAGCGACAACTATAGCTCATGAAATAGGTCATAATTTGGGTATGGAACATGATACACCTGAATGTGACTGTCCCAATGAAAGATGTGTTATGGCGCCTTCCTCGGGGTAAAATGATTGTTAGACCTACATTTTGCCAACAGTGTATTTAATTTTATATTTTTGTGCAGGTCACTGAGTCCAACCCACTGGAGTTCTTGTAGTATGGAATATTTAGCGTTAGCGTTTGAGCATGGAATGGACTACTGTTTGAGAAATAAACCTGCTAGGTAAAGTTTACTAAACATAATTGTTAATGTATTTTCTACATTTTCTTTTAAATAACAAATATTTAATGTAATTATATATATTTACTCGAATTTTATGTTTCTATTGTTAGATTATTTGAAAGCCCAGAGTGTGGTAATAATTTTGTAGAAGATGGAGAACAGTGTGATTGTGGGGTAAAAGATATGTGCACCAATCCTTGTTGCAATCCAGATACGTGTATGTTTTATGAAAACGCCACTTGTGCTACAGGGCAATGTTGTGACTTAAATGTAAAATGAAAATGATTATTTTTATTTTTAATTAATGTTCAACTTACTACAATTAAAAGTAAATTTCATTTGTTTAGACTTGCCATTTTAAGTTTGCCGGTGTGGAATGTAGATCAGCTTCACATGAATGTGATTTACCTGAGTACTGTACCGGAGATTCAGAGTACTGTCCTGATAATGTGTTCAAATTTGATGGATCCACTTGTGAAAAAAATCAGGTTTGTTTTAAATCTCTCCTTTACTTTTTTCATTATTTATTAACAATATTAAAAAAGTTATTAGTAATGGTCATTTTCTTCTATTTGCAGATGATCTAAAATTATTTTTAAAAATTGATTCTCTTAATGGCAGTTATTTATTACAAAATATCAACTCTTTAGTTAATTTGGCGAATGTACATAATCTTGAACTCAATTTTTTGACATTTCACTCAATGTCATTTTACAGAACCCGTGATAGATTTGATTATTTCTACTCTATCAATACTAGTCCTTTAATGCGATCTGAAAATAAAGTTTTGGACCTAGGTATCACGTTTGACCGCGATTTAAATTTTCATTTCCATTTGAACACTATATGCTGTACGGTCCTTAAAATGCTTGGTTTTATTAGTAGAATTTGTAACAAGCTTAAGCTACTTTCTCCCATAAAAACCTTATATTGTGCTTATGTAAGGTCTATTTTGGAATATGGTGCTATTGTATGGGATCCTTCCACTTGTTGTGGAAGGGATCAAATTGAGCGAGTACAACGTAAATTCCTAAAATATGCTGCATTTAAAAGTATTATTTTTAAGTATCGACGATCCACCTCATGATTATTATTCAATTTTAAATAAACTTGGTTTATGGTCCTTAGTTGATAGAAGAAAAGCTGCTTACTTGAAATTTCTCCGCCTACTAATAGATGGCTATATTGATTCCATGATTTCCATGATTAACTTTAAAGTCCCTTACTCTTCCGTCCGTCAAATGTATCCATTTTTTATTCCAAAATGTAACACCAATTATTCTGAGAATCAGCCAATCCTTAGAATGATGCTTATGGCAAATAGTGATCCATTTTTTTATTGTCATATCTTTTATTGTGTTAATCACGTTTTTATTTAAGTATAATTAGTTATTGTCACTTATTGTTATTGTTGTTATTCATAGTTAAAATTTTAATTAGTATTATCATACTATGTATAATTGAGCTCAGCCCGTATTGTTGATAATAAATAAATAAATCAACTGTATTTTAATTTTTTATGATAACTTATCATTTTTCTTGAAGTCAAGTACATATTAGAAATTATGTGTTAGAATATCTTAGATAATCATTTCGTTAAAAAAAATATAGGTACTTTCTACTTTCTAAAAAAATATTATGCTGTTCAATCTTTGAAACGATAACATAAAAATATAAATTAAATGAAAATGAAATTTTTAATGCATAAATGCTTTTTATAATTTATAAGTACCTATTATACAACTTGATTTTTGCACACTTGCATCAATTAATTTATTGTAAATATAAAATTTTACTTTATAATTTTATTTCTGTTATAGGCATTTTGCTTTAATGGATCTTGCCGTACACATGCAGATCAATGTCGTTTATTATGGGGTCCCACTGGGGAATCATCAGCAAAAGAGTGTTATCAAATGAATAATAGGGGTTCACCACAAGGTAACTGTGGTTACAATCGCCTGAACAAGTCCTATGTAAAATGTGCACAGGAGTAAGTTGATTTTTTTTTACTCATAATTTATTGAAATAATGTTTGATTTTGATTTTATATATTTATTCAATGTAGTAATGTACAATGTGGCATGTTGCAATGTAAGCACAAGAATGAGCGCTTAGAATTTGGTATGGAGACTGTATCCACTGTATCGCACACATTTATTAACCGTGATGGATTAATGATACCTTGTAGAACTGCTATTGTAGACTTGGGTCTTAATGATGTTGATCCTGGTTTAACACCGGATGGTGCAAAATGTGGTGAAAATAAGGTTTGTATTATCATAATTTAGATTATTTTAGACTATGAAAATTCTTTTTAATCATATAGAATTGTTTATTGTTTTAAATTGTAAGATGTGTGTGAAACAAAAATGCATGGCAGTGAAGGATTTCAGAGCAATTAATAATAATTGTGGAAATGATTGCAATGGCAATGGAGTATGTAACAGCAAAGGCAATTGCCACTGTAAAACTGGTTATGCGCCACCATACTGTGATCATCCTGGTCCTGGTGGGAGTGATGATTCTGGACCAGCATCTAGTCCAAACAGTACTTATTTTATGTTTATAATTTTGTTGTATTAATTTATTTTATATACATGTTTTATTATAATTTTAGCATTCAAAGGATTCATGACAGGAATGTATGTTCTAACATTTGGGGCCATTCCACTCTTGTTAGCTGTTTTGTTATTTGCCTATTGTTCTAAGAATCATCGTTCACCATCCGACTGGAATAAAGCTAACCGCAAAAAGCTATCGTATGTATCTAAATGTTTGCCATTTATCGAACGTTTGCAACATTTGATCATTGATGATGGTGATGGTGATAGTAATGCTTACACTACTACTACAGCTAGACCACTGCCTAGTATAAACACTGTGTCATCCTTAGTTACGCAATACAACAATGAGATTTGCTTAGAACCATCCAAGACCAGTAGTTTTTATAATAATAGATCAAAGTCAATTTTAGAAAATGCTTATACCAACAACGCATGTTCTGTACCACCACCAAATTACATTGATGCCGTGAAGTCTCGTCTGAGTAAAAGTGATATTATTATTACAAATCTCTTGTCTACCACTAATCCTCAAGTCAATAGTTATTTGCAAGATGGTGTATGGGAAAATTCAAAATAATTATTCTTTTAGAGTTAATTATAATTAATATATTTTATAATGACCATAAAGTGGACATAACATAATTATTTATACTAAATATTTAAGTCTCGGGGATCCACAGCAACTTGATAATTTAACATCTCTAGTAATCTACCACCTTTATTTTCAATAATAATGAGTCTATTGTTATAATTTGTATACATTTGCATGTTTTTTTCTTTTAATTCAAATAATTAAAATACCAACTCTGAATTGAATATAATAATTTTTTTTACACATTTTTATCCAAATAATGGTATAACATTTTAAAATTTAAACCGTGTGTATCAATATGTTATTAGTAATTACTAATACATTTCTAATTTTTATGCAAAAAATATATATCAAATATTAAAATCTATCATCACAAATAAAATTGATAAATTCAACCATCAATTCCAATGAACCAATTCTAAAATTGAAATTTAAGTTGGATCTGAACTAAATTTAAAAAATCTCAAATCTCAAAAATGTTGCATATTTTAATATGTTAAATATGTACTTTATTTACTATTGTTTATCGTTATTACTTTCATTACAATTTTATTTATTTCTGTTAAATATTTTGTAAATTATTAACACTAAAACCTTATAAATTATGTTTAAGAACATTCATTTAATTTAACATTATTACAATAGCAAATTAATTCTTGCATAACATGTAATGCACTTAGGATGCACATGCCTTGGATGTGAGTGTTTATTTTTATACTACATTTTTGCTTTTCTTAACAGCTAACACAAATTACATTTATATTGTTTTATTTTTATGTGTTGCTTTTTGTTTTGTTTCTAACTGACTAACTACTGTTTGTATATGACTTTGTATTATATAATATTATAATGTACATTACTTGGTCTATGAGACATCAACCTTGTCTTATGTACATTTTATTCAACTGAACTTTTGCTATTCGTCATTCACTTGCCGGTGTTAAATATTTTCAAATTTATCTTTTAACAGCAATGATTCAGAAGTCGGTAACAAACCTAATGGTACTGTATCACCTTCGAGTACATTATTGATAGACAATCAAAAACCACCGACACTTCATGCGGATCTGGTAGGTAACTACAAAGGATTTAGCATCAAACCGTTAGTACCCAACGAACATCCGGTTGTCTCTCGAACGCCAATCAGACCGGCACCTTCTGCACCTGCCTCGGTTGCCGTGACGAATGAAAGAGGTGGTAGGCTACAGATAAGTCAACCAGTCTTGGACGCGACTACGTCATCTGCCGTGCACAAGTTGGTTTCGGTACCTTCGAAACCGGCTCCACCCGTACCGACCGCGGCCAGACCTGCGTCGATGATGGCGGTGGACAACAAAAATAGTAATGGCGGCGGCGGAGGGGGAGGGTACCCGACACTGCGCAGGATAACGTCGTTTATGAAAAACCAAAAGACCGACGAGAAAAAACACACGATCCCTCGCGCCAACACCAAGTTTGACAAAGAGGTATTGAAAAAACTAGAAATATCAAACCCGATCCTACAGAAGGAAATAAACGTACCGTCGGAACCGTTGCCACTGGAGGCGGACCAACACAAAGCTGTCGTGCTCAGGGCGCAGAGTCTGCGCATCGCCAACAACGCCAATCACAGGCCTCGCGTACCGAACTTCGGGTCGATGAAGTGCAAACGGCCCACCAGCGTTGCCGCCACGACGGCGGCGTCGTCTGCCGTCTCCTGTTCGAGGCCCACTTCGCCACCGCCGCCCCGACCGCTGGCTTCACACCCAGTCCAGACCCAAGTCGACTACCAGATACCGCGACCGCTTGTGACCGACGGCGACCGGCCCGCAAACGGCAGTTGCGAGGAGCCGCTCTCGGAGAACATCTATTCGGTGATCGACGAACGCCCCTCGACGGACGTGGACGAGGACGATTCCTGCGCGTACAAAGTGCCCAGGTCATTAGAGAGTTCGTTGCTGGGCGAGATCGTGTCGGCGATACAGGAACGCAATCATGAGTCCATTTACACCAGTAAACCAGGCGTCGATGTTCCGCCGCAGCAGCAGACTTACGAAAACTATAAGTTGTCGCCGGCTAGTTCGACCACCAGTTCTGGGTACATGCGCCCCGTGGATGTCAAGTCACGGGCCGCCTCGTACGATCAGCCGGACTTAGTCAAGAACTGTGACGAAAACCGTTCTTTGAACCCTTCGCCGGACGTGCTCGAGGCCAAAAAGCAACCTACAGCCGATAAACCAACCGTTCTGTTTCCAAAACCGGTTGTCGGTGTGGCCAGCAAGTTGGCGTTAACAGCCACGGTCGGTCTGAAAAAAAAACTTTCGGACGGTAGTCGATACCCTTCAAAAGGTGTGGCCAACATTCAGAAGAAATTTGAAAGCCACGGAAATGTACTGAAAAACCCTCCAGTATCGGCCAAACCAACCATCACTGGCAACAGGTAAAGGTAGCCGACAAAAACTGCACAAGGATGTTTTATTATTATTATTTGTTTTTTGGGGGGTAGACGAAAGACTGCTGTCATGATACCCGCTTTTTTATATACAATTTTTTACATACACAATGGTGCTTATATTTATCATTTTTATTTCGGAGTTAATTACTCATGTGTAAATATTTTGGTGTACATAAAGTATTGTTTTATTCCTTTGAACAAAATGACTTATAAAAAAAAAAACTTAATGTGATAAACTTTACTCAAAATTAAATTTATTTGTGTTCAAAAAGTGTTAGTTCCTTTACAGAAAATATTGCAAATTTCAATTTCTCGGATTAGTATTATAATATTATTTTCATTTTTAAGTATACTCTTCATGCCAAGCATCAAATTTAATATGTATAGATAGTTAACCAAACCTTCCGGGTGCATTATTTACCGATGGCTTCATGGCTTATAACTCTATTCATAATTTTTATTTATTTTCTCTACTTTTTATTTTACTAGTCATTATGTTTAATACTTTAATGTGAAGTTTATATATATATTATTCTATATGTGTTTTGTGTTCATGTACCTATTATACATTTTCATCTTCGTGCTTTTTATAGGCTTTATTATACCAGCTAATGCTCTCTGTCTACAAATCTTAACGACTATATTTGCTAATTGCTAAACAGTGTAATTTGTTTTTTTTTTTAATTCCACGCTGCTAGATTTATATGTATTTTTTTTTTTCGCAAATATTTACTTCAAAGGAAAAATAAATAAAAGACACTAATGTTATTGACGCCAAAGGCTCATGTTCCTCATAGTCTATTATTATATTATTATATAATTATTGTATTTATTATTATTATTATTTATTGTATTTGTATATATTGTATTAGTGTTTTATATTATTTTTCATTTTTATTCGAGAATAAAATTAAAATTTTATACTAAATTGTTTTAGATTTTTTAAATTCGGATTGGTTTTTTATCCTTAATTTGAGATAAATTTAAAATTTAAATAAAATAAGTGAACTTCCTAAAATTATTTCACCAAAATGTTATCATTATGTTTTACTTTATACTGGACTACTATCGATATAATTTAAAATACTATACAGTAACACGAATATAATAATTTACAGGTGTTACAAGCATATCCAGTAAAAAATATGAACGTTTAGTGTTTATCTAAACTCTAAAGTACCTAGGAATTTTATTTTAAAACGGGGTGTAGGGCGTAAAATATTACTATAATATGCAATTGGTAAACACTGTGCAAGAAGGAGCAAAAAGGTGGACAAGTGAGTACTGATCTGCTTTACCCTGTGGGGCGTGGGCCATAGGATAAGTTTTAGACAGTCGTACACAGAGATGCTGCGGGATGTGGACTGAACAGTGTGTAGTAGGTTAAGAACGGGGTGAGAGCCACTGTAAAGGCAATGGATAAGTTATTTGCATTACAAAAAACGATTCTCAGCAATGTCTGGGACGCTACAAATATGTCGTCTCCGTCTTACAAAATATGTACAACATAGCAAAAACAGTTTCGCGGGGAAGAGAACCGAGAAGGCTACAGTTATAACCAAGAAACCAAATTTTCACCATGAATAGAAGACAATTTGAATTGTGTCGTCGAGTTTTAATTTTTTCGATAAGACCCATATGTCAAAAGTTATTTAAGTTTGGAAAAGATAAAAATATCAAATTTTATTATAACTTTTTTTTTATTAATGTTATTAAACAATAAAAACACTACGACACAGAAAATATTATCTCCTATACTGTGTTAACTTTTTGTGTCTACTAGAACTGCAGACAGCGGTTCTAGCCCGAGAAAAACAGTTTTTGCTAGGTTGTATACTTGTAAGACAGAGACAATACATTTGAATGTAACGTATACTGAATAAAAACATATCGGGACTATATATTCAATTTTTTTTTTAATTGGTAGCTGGTACCTACATGAACAACTTATGAAGAACCAAAAGGTTATACAAAAGTATTCAATTTTCAATCTTTTTGACAGAGCAAACATTTTTTAATCAGCATTTCAAATAAGCTTTTCAAAAAGCGTCAAAATATTTTGAACACTTTATTTTTCTAAAAAGTACTCGGAATGTTTGATGTTGACTTATCTTAAAAACCAACTACCTAGATCTAATTCGGTGTCTAAAATTAACCTTTAAGTAAATAATCAAAGCATTTTTTCAACTTCTTTTCGTGTATAAATCAGGGACGGATCCAGGCAATCCCCCCTCCCCGACATTATTTCCCAAATTTTTTAAATAATTCAACAGATATTACTATATTTCAAATTACATGTATGTCTGATAATATGATACATTATTATACTTATCATTCTAGGGTAGTACTATCTCAGTTCATGGTGGACAGTGATTTCAATATTGTAATTTTACAATAATAAAAAAATTGTGCCCTCCCCAGATCTTTGCTCTGGATCTGTGCCTGCTATAAATACACAAAAAAATTTTAAATGAATAAAAAACATACTTCCGTATAAAATCAATTATTACATTTGCATAGCTCCGCTCAGTATCTAAAATATTTTTAATCGAATCTGGTACATATAAGGGGAATTTTTTTTTATCCTAGCATACCTAGAAATTTTAGATTATAAAAATATAAAAATAACAGATTTTAAAATAAAATTTAAATTGTATAATTATAAATTTAGATGATTTTAAATGTAAATATGAAACCAAATAGACAATGGTGAAATGTTAAAATTTACTTTTAAAGTATAACAATAAAAACAAAATTACAAGAAAAAAAGAATTATTATAATGGTTAATAATATGCTTGTAACTTTAGTGCCCCAATTTTTAAACGTATTGTAATCATAAATACATTATTTAATATTAACCATACGAATAAATTAAATCAATATAAGTAATGTTTGTGTCAAATAAACTTAAAATATTGATTAATAGAAATAATGTAAGACTTATAAGCGAGTATCACAAATAAAAATATATGTTGTATTTTATTCAGACTTATACACATTTTCTAATATACTATCTATTTTATTTTTAAATGCCCCAAACGAAAAAGTTTCATCAAATCTCTTTTTTCCATAATTTCCAAATAATTCAGCTTTTCCTTCAATTTCTACAAGCCGTTTTATAGCATCAGCAAAATCTTCAGGTTCAGCATTTCGTAAGTATCCATTATGATCGTTTTCAATAGTCTCTTTAGGTCCACCATTATTAACTGCCACAACTGGTTTACAACAGTACATGGCTTCTAATGGCACAATACCAAAATGTTCAAAGGATGGAGTATATACCAAGCATAGACAATTCCTAAGGAGTGATATTTTTATGACATCCGATGGAGATTTCAAAAATATAACGCGTTCATTGAGTTTCATATCTTGAACAAGATTTACCAGTTCATGAAAATATTCAATATTTTCTAAATTCAAAGGATCATAACCCCCCGCCAAGACAAGTTTTATTTTCTTGTCAGATAACAAGTTAAAACTATGGATTGCCAAGCCTAGATTTTTCTTCCTCTCAAACCTATTTATGGATAAGATATATTTACAATTGTCCAAGTTCATTATATCTTTCAATTGTATAGTTTCGGTATTATCAAAAAACGCAGTGTTTATGGATGGGTAGACGACTGTTGGCAGTGTCTTAATGCTTTTAAATGTACTTTTAAAGACATCTAATGTGAAATTACTATTAACTAAGATCATGTGAGCGCACATAGTGGTCTTCTCTTCTAGCCAGTCCAATGGCAGTCGATAGTATCGCTTCAGAGCGTTGTCATGCGCGGCCAACAGTTGATCGGGATAATGGCAGTAGAACAGGACTTTGCAGGGCATCCAATTTAATATGGGTATGCAGACCGATATCTGGTCAACAAACACCACATTAGGATTGATGGAACTGAAAAACGTCAAATACAATGCGGCGTACACCATGCGTGCGTAACTACACAGAGCGTAACACTTGCCGAACACCGTCCTCGGTAGCCAATCGCCAACTACCGTTACCGGTAAAGTACCGTCCCTGGTCTCTTCAAAACAGTGCGAGACGCTGTGGTGGTTGGTGACGAACTGCACTGAATGGCCAGATTGCTTCATCGCCACGGCTGCGTCGACCACCAACCGTTCGGCACCGCCAATGCCCAGATCTGGGTGAAGGAAGACTACGTTCAATTTCATCGTGAGACTTCCTCCTCGGTCGAAAACATGAATTTAATACTTAATAGGCCAACAGACACGTTACAGACGAATGAACATAAGACAATTATATTATGTACTATTAATCTGATGTGAAATTGTGAAACTGCAAAACGTGTAATATTATTAATTATTTCTAGAGCGGAGATGTCACAAAATATGTTTAAATAATAATTGTTATCACTTATCTTATCGACCAGAGATAATAATATCTTGTAGTCGACTCATCAATTACACTCTGATATTATTATTATATATACAAAATCATGGAAACAAATATAATTATCAATGTATAATAATATTGACTTATCAAAAACAATAATAATAATAAATAATAATTAAAAATATTACTGTTTCCCGAATCCCGAATTCGTATCGTAAAATTTGAAAAAAAAAAATATATTTTAAGTTGTAAAAACAATTTACAATGTCCTGGCAAATTTGTTAACGATCTTGTTTACCCACATACCAAGTAAGTTTATTATGGCGTACACGTAAGACATATGACTCAGTTCAAGGACTGTCTTAACCCACTTTTCATACTCGCACAATCTTTTGAAGTTTCACTATTGAAGTACACATTTGTGTTTCTTTTTTTTGACTAAACAGACTAAAATGACTGACGACCTATCACGCGACGAATCTGCCCGACAACGCCAAGAACGGTGGGAGCATCATATGCACGGCCTTTGTATACTCGACAATCACTTGAATGTTGAAATGGAAATAGCCTCTCACCGATCAGCTGTACTCAACCATCTTGTCGAGCAAGCCAACAGGGTTAAAGATTTGTGGCTTGAATTTCAACGAAAATCTGATAATGGGCGTGTATTGGAAGATACTGCTGTACAAATGGCTATTGAACAACATGGTCTGCAAAGTCATAATTTCCATCAGCCGCAATTGCAAAATATAACAGTTAGTACCTTAATGACCATCTAATATAATCTTTATTGCAGTTAATAGATGTTTTCCTTAATTTTAGATTGTGTCACAACCTCCAAGTAAACCTCCAGAAATAGATTGTGATGATGTATTTAATCAAGCTGTGTCTGCAGCAATCGTCGCAAATGGATTAATGACTGCTACAGCTACTCAACAAGAACATTTTAATATGTAATATTTTTATGACAATATTTATATCATCACCAAGGGACAACATCTTGGAACTTATGTATTCGTCATTACTTCATACAACTTACAAAAAAAATTTGGTAACTATTTATTGACACAGCAATATTAAATCTTAAGCTACTTCAATTGTATTGAATAAAATATGATTAGGTAAATATTTTAAACCTGAATATGTGATAGAAACACCATTTTTATTTAAAGTGTCATTCAATTTATTGTATTCATAAAATCTCATAGTATATCTTATTTTTATTATTTATAACTCGTTTAAGTCTTCTTTTGCTTTACCTAATATTTTTAGTGAAATAATTTATTTAATTTACAAACTGTTTGTTTAAACTCTTGTATGTATTTTCTTTACTTAAAGTACATTACAACATTTTACATTTTAGTAGTAAGTCTTTATTTTACAAAATATTTTTTATTTAATTTGCAAGTGGTGATAGAAAAAATAATATTTCATACATTTATGAAATAAAAAATAATAATCTTGTATTAAATATAATACATATTATATTAGTCCCTATTGTGATTGATATGAATTGATGAAAGGTTTAAGTTAACTAAATGTGGTTTAATCCACAATTCAAAATATATGATACAAATATATTTTGTTTTATAGATGTGTTCAAATTACAATAATGACTGTGTGTATATAATACATACATATTATATTATTATTTTTTACATACTATTGTTGTTATTACTTTAAAAACATATTATTAATTATCATAGATTACTATTCCATTTAAATATTATATGTATTAAGAATACAAAAATACAAAATAATCATTCATTTAATATAATTCTAAGTATTATAGTTAATTACATTGTATAGTTATTATATTTTTATTTTTAGAAAAATTAAATAATTTTTTTTTACGTTTGCTTTTGTGTTTTTAAGTTTTAATTAATGAGCTACATTTAAAATAAATGTTTTTGTGATTTTTTTTTTATAATTTTTATTGTGTTACATGTTTTTGATAAATATATTTAGTTTTTATTTTATAATTAATAACTATGAATTTTCTCTTTTTACTTGACTAAAGTGAAATTTGTTATTCTTATTCATTATTCCTTTTTTCTATATAATTATATATTATTTTCGTCTATATATCCCAAATTACTGTATACCTGAATTATTCTAAAAATTATCTAACAATTTTTTTTCTGGTACATTGTTATTTTTAAGTTGTAACAATTTATTTAAAAATAAATTGTGTAATTTTGATTAGTGTACATTTTAATATTAATCAATTTAATAATATATAACTATTGTAATCAATATTTGGATCTACATATGTACATACACCTACTTGTCCATTTGTGACTGTTAAAAAAAAGGTACAGTTTTAAATTATTGTGTTTACAATTCACACATAATATTCTAACTTATCATAACATAAAGCTACTGTTTTTTTTTAAATAGCATACACTTAATCTTACACACAATTAAAACTATTTTGAATAGAGTTTATTTTGATCATGTTAAAAATGCATTTTATTGAACCGGCGAGCTTCCGAGAAAATCTCAGTGGGCCGCTTCAAAATAATGTATTGTGTTAAATTACATGTACATACGTACATCTAATTATATAAATATTTATCTATCATAAATCAAATTTTAAAATTATAAAGTCATAAAAATTGACTAAAAATAATGGCCATACTACTCATACTAATATCATGATGGCTGATGAATATAAAATTAAATGTGTAAAAAAAGTACCTAGTCCTAAACTTATATTTTGCGTTTTTTTTAATAATAAAGCTAAGTACGAGTATACTAAATAACTTAATTTAATGTATTGGATAATTTGTACATTTGCTTTAGATAAACAATTATGAATTGAAACACATGCTAAAAGAGTGACCATAAAACTTTTTTTGTCAAACAGGCCAATAATTCGCTGAGGGCCTATAAAAATTTAAAATCTCAGTGGGCCAAAAAGTCTCAATCCGGTTCTGCTACTTCCTGTATGGCTGTTTATCTATTAACTATATAAGTTAGCAGTAAAAATGTTGTCATTTTTCTCTACAATGTGTGTGCTAGTGAATTTTTTGAACAAATTACTGTAATATTGTGTAATATACAGGTTACTACGGTCCTCATTGTATGAGTATACAGTTCTATTGTTTAAATTTTTTTAACAGGGATGCTAAAATGTAAGCAAGCCATAGAATAATTTATGACTTATGTCCATAATACTAAAATACAAAAGCTTATTATTATTATATCATATCATTAAAATAACAAAACAAATTTATTTTGTCGTTTAAAATATTAATTATCATAGTACCATATAGTACAGAATACATCACTGTTATCAAAAATCACGATGAAGATGTTCGTGGAATGATAAAACGATCTCGATGAAAATCGAAGAGTTCCGAGGGGCTAGTAATATTTAGCCTCAGACGAGTTGGACGGCCGTACGATTATAAAATATATCATGGTAGAGGGGGGCAGTAAGAATTTTATTATGAAATGAGGCTGAACGATTCGGGCCTCAAAGTTTGTCAACATTATCCATTAGTCATCTATCGAATTGAAGTAACTTAAACTGAAATAGGAACTGGGAGGTTATTGTAATGACGTGTACTAAAAGTGTATACCTATCTATTACCTACCCACAATATTTTTATCATAAACTAAAGATATCGGTTCTTCTCAAGCAAATAACAATTATAATTTAACATAATAATTAATAACATTTTTTATACATAAATGTATATTTATTTGAATTTATTTTGACATTTGAGATAAATATTAAATATGACATGGTTCATTATTTATATGTTCTTAAAGGTTAGAATTAAATATGAATTTTAAAATTTAACTTGAAACTCATTTTTATATTTTAACAGCAATTTGTCTCTAATATATTTTGAAAATACGTATCTGCCACACCCCACTTACGGTTCACGAGCCGCCACTGATGTACATTAAAAAAATGTTAAAACATTTTGTCTAAAGATTAGATGATTCAATTATAATATAATAATTATGAGTTATGTTTTATTTACTCACCTGTAATTTTATACAGTAATGTTCAATTTTTTTCTTTAATAAATGGACATCGCAGATGTTATTTTATTTGTTTTAATTTGAAAAAATATTTTTAGACAATTAATAAATCACAAATAATAAATAAAAGTAGAATCATTCATTTAAAATAATTATGACAACGAAATATTATTGCACGGAAATAATTAGTTATCACTTTAAATAAAAACAATATCTCAGACATTTCATATAAAATTAAAATTAAAGGCCAAATAGTGTTTATATTTAGTGTATTTCTTTATCCACCATTTACAGCACAAGGTAAATCAATGGTTTCTATTAAAAATAAATATTTAATTTTATCAGTGTTTTTACTTGACTCTTTTATACATAATATGATATAACATTTTACTATGTACGCAATGACATTTAAAAAAATATTTAGAATGATTTAAAGCTTATTCTTAAGACGAATGATATATAATTACTAATTAGTTTCTATAAAAGAAATACAATTAAAAATTAAATAAGCTCAATAACATAGACTGTCATAATGTCTCCGTTGTAAATTGTTTTTTAAGTGCAATTATATATCATTGAATTCAAATTGAACTACTAACCTACTGCAGCACAGACCTACTTACTCACTTTTTGAAAATACTTAGAATCAGTGGCGTAGCCAGGGGGGAGGCTGAGGGGCTGCAGCCCCCCCCGAAATTTTAATAAAATTTAAAAAAAATTTTAATGGTCTATGGTATTCGATCAAAAACTAAACCACCGCTATGTAAAAAATTGATCAGCCCCCTTGAAAAAAAATCCTGACTACGCCACTGCTTAGAATAATAATTTTTTCACTTTTTTATTTATTGCATAAACTAAATATGTTTCTAAGATGACTCGGGCGTCAAAAATCAGGTAATTTGCAATTTAGTTGGAGAAATCTGGAAAAGTACTTATGTATTCAATATAACTCAACTGCCAGAACGTTGTGATATAATTGCAGTAGCTCAATTTGCTTTTGACCGTACTGAGGGTGACCAAATATTGGAATCAGATAAAGGTAATTATAAACAACTTAAATACACAAACATGTAACTGATTTCGTATGTTTGGCGTTTGCTATATGGACATATATTACAAAGTCCCATTTATTATACATTTGAGGCGATCCGCTTTATTTAAGGAACATTAAGAGCAAACAGAATACCGTACTCAAACATAAGCGTGTAAATATATTATATGAAATATTAAAGTACAACTGGATAGGTAGTGCACAACCAATGCTAATATGCTATGGTGAACACCCTTGTGTTTATTTCGTGATGATTTAAGTCTTGATAATGACAAAGATAAATTAAGTATAGTTTAAAAAAAAAAACAAAGCCTAAAGAAAATGTTTAAACCACATGTCGTATCAGATGTCATTTTTTATAAATGTCAATGGTCAATCAACTAATAAAATTGATTACAAATAGACAAGCGTATTAGTTATCTCACTAAGAAAAAAATGCAATTTAATAGATAAAAAAACGTATGTTATTATGTTGAAATTTTAATGATTAAAGGTATAATAACAAGCTTAGTAGAAGCTAAGAAAACTGTTTACACAAGCATTGGGTTCGTGTGTGAAGATGATTGGCCTGCAATATTTGATCCCCCGGATACAGGCGTATTTCAGAAAGACTTTTTTGATCCTTTAATCAATTTATTAAATGCATCAAAAGTGAATGGTATTCTTATTTATTGTAAATACATATATGATGTGAGTACAATTGGACATAGTCATTTTTTATTCAATCATAGTTTTAAAGTACGAATATTAAAATGATTTGTCTTTTGAAGGTATCTCTCATCATCATTTAAAATAATGAAAATGTTAGATTTTCTTTTAGCCGGGTTTTTTTGAATTAAATTAGATCTAGTTAGTAATTTATGGGAGAGGGCCGACGAGTAAAAAAACTCTATACTTTTGAATATTATCGGCAACAACATAAACAAGTACCTCAAGTAATATTTTTGAATTACAATAAGTAATACAATAAATCGTTTTTCTTCATTTGCAGATCTTATTTCCTCAAAGTTTAAACTCAAAAGAGGTATAAAAGTAAAACTATAATATTATATAATTTTTTGATTGTTAGGTTAGGATAACGGTATGAAATAATTGTGAGAAATGTTGGATTCAATTGTCAATTATTAACTATAATAATTGAATATTTTAAACATTTTTGGGTACAAAATTATTTGCAAATGTCCTTGATATTACAAATTTTTGACAACATATGAACATGAAATCCTTAATTAAAAAATCAGTCATATGCATATTTAATATTAAATTATTATATTAACAACTTATGAGAAACCTTGTATTCAATTTTTTTATCTTAGATTCTGAGGAAAACGATGACTGTATTAATTTTAAAACTATGTGTAATATGTATGTATTTTTTGTGCATAATGATTTCATTTGAAAGCATTGTTAAACGGATAAAATCAATGCAACATAAAAAAATACAAATTTAAAAAAATCAACCTATAGATTAAAATGTTGTATTTATTTAGCATTAATTGAATGTATTTATTTTAGGTTCCCGTAATAGATTTTGCGGTAAAATTAAGTAACTTTGTGTCTGCAGTTAAAAATAAAACAGATAATTTAATAGTTGGTTTAATCATAACTGGTTCATACTATTTCAATTTTCCGAATAATTCACGTAAGTAAAATGCATTTATATATCTACAAGGACAATAAATTATTGTATTCCATAACGCTTGATATGTAAATTATTTCTTTATATTTCAATTAATCCTTTAAATTTTCAATTAATCCTCATAAGAAGAATATATTGTTATTGTAAACCTAAATAATTTTTAAATTAATTCTTTATATTCTGATTGTGTTCTTTAAGTTTTTGATTTTTCAATAACAAATGAAGCATTGGATCTTTATATCATTGATTGGTCAAATTTAAACATATGTGACAACGATACAGTAAAATATGGTCTCAGTCCAATAACATCTAATATTTTGGATATGGTAACTATTGTACGTACCTATTCTTAAAAACAGTAACATATTATGCCAATTTAAAACGAAAAAAATATTAAAGCCTTTTTTTTCAGGAACAAGTTAATGGTGGTATAACTAATTCATCTATGGATAAATCAAAAATATATGCTATGATTCAAATGCTTCCAGTAATTCCAAAAAAACTTGTTCCCAAAAGTCCTTGGTGTATTACAACATATTCAATAGTATGATTAATGATATTATAATAGATATTTATTTAATTTTGCATAGTATAGTTTTTTTAATCAGAGCATAATATAATAAAACTACTTATTTTTCCAATGTCAGGAATAATGACAAATATTAAGGACAAATGTAATTGAAAAATACAATTTAAAAAAATAACAATTTCAAGTTCGCTTTTTGATAAAAACTCATTTTTACTCTTTGAATGAAGAACAAATAGATAATAAGTTCTCTTGTGCCACTCCACGAAGCTTATCAAGACTCATTTATATTTGAATACTTTAAAAATTTGACATTCAATGTACCTACTACAACAATTTATATATTTATCTTTCAAAATTTAATATTTATGTATTTTAAAAATTTCACATCGCTTCATGACAATGATATATTAAAATAGTCATGTTTTTAATTTTGACATATTCCAAAATTATAATATCTGCACAATCACCCACCAATTTAGGTGTGAATAAGTGTTTACATTATTTATCCATAACTTGCACATGATCAACTATCCATTTGTACTCCTCAAGCATAGTCAATTCATAGAAATTAACAATTTGTATTAAAGTGATTAAATTAGCAATGCAATGATATCAAAGTCAATTTACTAGGAATCAAATTAATTTGAACGAAAGATTCAACATTTTATGTACATACCTACTTCAAAATTGAAAATATTGTCAGTTTGATAAACATAATATGATGTAATTTATTATTTTTTATATACAGCAGCGGTTCCCAAACTTTTTTAGTTCACACCACCCTAAACATTAATAGCTATAATAACTATTACGGAAATCCCCGAATCAAGTATATTATTGTGTAAAGTGACTTAAAGTTATACTGAACATAGTGAAATATTTGTTTAGAATAGTTAAGACGTTTCAACAAAATTATTGTTGATTAAAAAATATCAATATTTACCTTGCCCCTCATGCCGCCCCTGCCGTAAGGTCACGTCTCCCTAGAGTGGCGCCCCTCACAGTTGGGGAACCGCTGCAATACAGCTATATTATACTTGAAAACAATGAATATAGTAATCTGAAAGCCGCAGATTACAGTATTTTTCTCTTTTTTTAGATTTTACACTTTTGTGGTTCCGTTCTAAAAATATTATTTCGTTTTAATTACAGTATTGTAGCAGTACAAATCCAACTAATTTATCTCAATGGTGTACTAACCCTTCAAAACTTTCATATGATCAAGTAAATACCTATACTGAAATCTTATTGTGCACACAAAGTCTCCGTTTAATAGTTATTTAATGGAATTATATTGTAATCGTAAAGAAATCCGGTAGTACATTCTTATTTAGAACATAATATAAGTAAAGATGATGCAATTGGATAAAATGGACTATTTTGAAGTTGAAGATAAGAAAACCTTATAAAAACAAGATATGCTTTCGATCAGGGTAAATCGTGTATACTAAGATTTATCAGTGGTGCAACTACTAAAGAGGGAGGGCGAGTGCGCAAGAATAATAGTGGTTTGATTATAATGGAGTGTGGAGTTGAGTATTCCTTCTACCAGTTCTACCTATGATACCAACCAGTGGAACTTTTCGAATGTTAACTCCTGTAACGACCTCCTGACTGAAAAGTTTGAATGTAAACATTTTATAACCATCCTATGAATACATCGATTGAGAGATCTAATAGGTTTGAGACATGACTTGCACATCTGGTAGTTGGGTAACTGGTTGTCTTGCCGGTGACGACGAAGAAGCACACTCGTAAAACGAGAAATGAACGGTGGAAGCGTAAAACAAACGTAACGAACAGCGGATGCGTCGTTGCTGTTGTCGTTGTTTTGAATGTAATTACTACGGAACCTATAGAAGTGGCGTCGTGTAGGAATTTTCCGACTTTCAGACGGCTTCCTTGAAAAGTTAATTAAATTAACACCTGGGTCCGTTCTGTTCTACCCAGGACCACAGAATTATTATTTAGTAATATACTAATATGTACACACTCGCAAGCATGCTAAACAGTATTGTGTGGGGATCTACCACTTATCTATCGCATTGGTTAATAGTTTAATAGTCTTTTCAGACATTTTAATATAAAAATATCGTTTTTTCTAGAATGCGAATGAGCATCAGCGTTTTATCTACATCTCTACATTGTATGGGCATAGTGATTTGTTATTGTTATACATTAAGTTATAGTATTCTTTTGTGGTTTTTTTTAGGGAGCGTACGCAAAACAATCCTATGTTGGAATTGCCCTTGAACATCTTGATACAGAAGATTATGAGGGCTTTTGCGATTGTGAGAAATTTCCAGTAACAAACCTAATTATTGATGGATGGACGGCAAGCCCTTTTAAAACATGTCCTAAACTAGATCATAATTAACCGATTTTAATTAAAATATGTATTTATAATATTTTAATGTTTTATTCTGTATTGTAATAATAGATATTCTGCAATATTCTTACTAATTTATCTTAAATATACGTGTTAAAATCATAAAAAATCATATTATTCCAACTACGACTATTATAATGTGTAGTTTTGAATCAATTGACTAATGTCAAATGAATTAAGAAAAGGTCTACATAATATCATAATAATATGTAGCATACAAATAGACCGAGAAAATTGTCTTGAAATTAAATGAAAAATTCAAATTATATTGACCCATACAGCAAGAGAGCCTGTATATAAGACAGTGGCCAATTGAGTAGAAAGCAGCCATGTGTCGTCCGAACTATTCCCGCTAGTTTTGGTTCGAAATTTAATTCTTGTAAAATGATTATAGTTTCCAGTATACATATAATTATTTTACAATATATGCGCATATTACATATTATGTACATAATTAAAAACAAATCAAAAATATTAATAAATGTAAATGTAAATAATCAAACTATATAATTCGTAAGGGAAACATTTACATTCATTATTTTATTATTCTTCCTTGATAGATGAAGTTGAATGAAATGGAAAATGGTCAAAATTGTTAGAATGTGGAAATATAAGCTAATTTAAAGAAAAAATATACATTTACGTAAGCTCTAAAAAATATTTATTGGAGTATGATATAATTTTAATAATATGATAAGGCATAATTAAAACAAATTTAGTCTGGAACCTCTAAAAATAGTTTTCTAGCGCACTATGATTATTTCTATAGTTATAAATTTATAAATTCTATAAAACAATGAAAAAGTTTTAAATTTTCAACATTATAATATACAGTAAAACTTAACCAATTTCCTCTCCAGTTATGACGACTATAAGCAAGCACAAGCTTAGTTAGTTAAAGTATGTAAGACGGAGATAGAATCTCCCCGGAGCCTACAATATATTTTCATACAAGGAATAAAATAGACTTTTTAAAAGGAATAACTGAATAAACCATAATATTCAACTTTAAATTTAAATTCAATTTATATTTTATGCGTTTAATTAATTATCATCTCATATTGAATACTAATGCGTTATTTAAAAATAAATTGATACGATTTGGTACCTATTTGAATAGTCTAAAATAATGAACATCAAAATTTGGTCAGAGTCCGACAAAAGCTCCAAGTTTACTTTCGTATATTTCAACATGCAATCAAAGACCTAGGGAAGTATAATAATAGTTTATATCTAACCTATACGTCTTCAAACACAAATCTCTAAAGTTTTCGAAACAGTCGACCAACAACATTACATCAACTTTCAAGTAGCAGTCGCTATATTCGCCGAGAGAGTTACAATTGAATCGACTCCAAACCATCCTCGCATGTTCATAGTCATCATTTGAAATATGTGTTTCATTCAATGTATTGTAGAATTTTTGTGCTAGGTAGTGGAATTTTTGTTTTGTTTAATTTTTCCCAACTATCCGTATATTCATGGGGATAGAAATCTTTCCGTGTCATCAGATCAATATTATTTTCGATAAATATTTTCTTCGTCTCTCTAAACTTTGATTTGCTTCCTCTAACTAAATTGTTGACTAATTTTTCCAAACTAGTGGCCATAAATCAGAAAGAATCCACAAATCGTATTTGGATGGGATGAATTTTAAATATATTTAGTAAAAGATATAAACTTCTCCTCGGTATTGGGTACAACGTTTATCGGTTGAGGGTCAAAGCCTAGTCGGGTGATAATAAAATGTGAATCATACCCGGAAAATTTATTAAAAAAACAAGAGACAAAATAGATCGCTGCATTTTTAGGTTGCACTGATTACATGCCGTTTGTCTGTACTTTCTGGTCAAGTGATCGTGATCTCGCACAGTAAGTTACCACTATTAAATTTACTACTACAAAACGGGCATGTTCCCCGGTCAGCGACTTCTCTATGTTTTTTATTATTTCCATTAGTTATTACAAGCGGCATATTTGTGTTTAACAATCGATCGATGTTTTTACTAACTTCTACAATGTCTTCCATAAACATATTTGAAACTTCTCTACTTTAAAAGCATAGCTGTTTTCTACTCCGGTATAATTAGATCCTATTCGAAAATTGTTTGGGTGGGTTAACGAGTTTTGCCAAAATGCTGTATTTAAACATTTTTCGTCAGTATTTTTTACATTGGTTGTTTTTTTTTTGCTTTCTAGATATGCAGGTAGCGGTATATAGAAGAATCTCCCAATGGCGAGTATATGTTAATATTTATTAAAACACCATCAATGTTGAATAATGGAAAGCCACTTCCATTCAACATTATTTCGTTTTCTTCCTGTATGATTTTGATATAATCTTTGTCTAAATTATTATTTAAATAAGCGTCTAAAAACAGTGTCCTACATTTTGTTTTAAATGACCTAATTTCTCGAACCTCTGTGTTGGGAATCTCATTTGTCGATTCTACTTTAATACTGTACTTTATTAGACCTTGTTGTACAGCGTTAAAAAGTAAATCCCTAATACTAAGCCTTGATTGTTCTAAAAATGTCTCATAATCCATGATGTTTTCAATATTTTTTTTTTAAATGTTAGCACAGATCGCTAAATTCCAAAACCACTTCTTTGAATTCTGATATTGTAGCGTTCATTCTCATACTTTTGCTTTTTCTTGAATTTTCTTCCTCCTTTTCAAAGTTGTTTACAGCCTGAACCATATCCATTTCGTCGACGTCATTTCCCTAATGCAAACTCTGGTTTGATGGCCCAGCTGATAAATTTGGTACGGATACTTGTGGTGCAATTTCTATATCGGCACGTACATGTTGAACTCCTAAAATGTATTAAAACATTTTTTTTTTTAATGAAATAGATAGGTAACTCTTTAAATGAAAACTAAAAATGTTCCATAAAATGAATTAAAATTTGCTATACATACCATGAACAATCTTCATATGCCTTTTGATAATCAATTTTTGAGTAAATGTCTTGACACACGCAGTACACGAACAAAGCACGTTGTTATTTTTTTCTTGTACCTGGTCAAACAGTCCTTGCAAGAAAACACAAATGCTCACTTTTCTCATTTAAAATTATTGAAAATAAAAAAAATAAAAGACGGATGAACGATAAATATACGCACGACGATTTAAGACTGAACGACTGACTGATTTTGTCAAACAGCTCAATTGAAAATGATGTGCTTGGAGTGTTAAAATAACAACAGTATGTGTAGAACATAGAGTAATATTACTCTATGGTATAGAATGAAATGCATGTAGTTGACTTGTAATCAATTCAATATTGAGTATAGGAGTGATTATATTACCTTTAAATAAACGTTGAATAGTTGAATATTACATTATCCAATAGATTATAGTTAAAATAATATCAATATAACATCAACCTAACCAAAAAAAACATAATAAGTTGGGAATATTTAAGGTGAAAGAAACAATTCTTAAAACAGTACGACAATAATTACAATAGTATGATATTTCTGAAAACAAAATTCAAGGAACTGTTTATAGTGATGTTAATTTAATTTCTATTTCCATGTATGTATACAAATTAATATCTATTTATGCCTCGATAGTCTATATTCTTATATATAATATATATATATTATATATACATACATATCTGTATAAACTATAAATATGATATTTCAGATTTAATTTTCATTTGTTTGCCGCTAAAATACTTTTAATTTTTACATAACCTTAATAAGGTTCTATTCGAGGCCCTAAATAAAAAAGCGGCGAAAAACTCAACTAAAATGTCCTCTCTACAAACTACCAAATTGTTAACGTTATTAAATATAGAAGTGTCCCGACCTAATCTTCTAAGGCCATTCTCTCTACATATAACCATACCTACCCTAACTAAAAATAAATTCTATGCATATTTCTTTCAAACTAAATCATTTAAACTATACTGCTTTACAACAATGTTTAAGGTGTAGTGCCCTCATCTATCATAAATAATATTAATCATCTTCGCGTTCATCCTTTTCTTTGGTCGACAGAATCGTCTCGACCATGTGTAGCCAACCTAATCTAACTTAACCTTACAGTTAATTTAAATATTTTGAAAATGTATTTTAAACAAGTAATTTGATCCTCCGGTATAATACCGGTGTGTAATATCGACATAATTATACTTTTTAACACCAATTTAGATGATCATATTATTATAATTTTTTTTTTTCACAGCTGACATAATAATATAATATTATAATTTAATAAATGAATGGACATTTAAAAAATATAGAAACAGTTTATCCAAAATGTAGATGATAATATTATATATTTTTTATTATGATTTATGTATTATTTACTCATGTGCAATATTATGCTGCAATTTACATTTTTTTATATATAAATATACATCACAGATGTTCTATTTTTATGTTGTAATTTTTAACATTATTAAGTAAACAATTAATAAATAACAGACAATTAATCAAAGTAAATACTTAATTTAAAATTTAACTTAAAATTATTAGGTAGGTATTACAAACAAAATATTATTTCGCAAAAGTTATTTAGTTGTAATTTTATGCATGATATTTCATGTAATAATTAAAATGAAAATTATAATAATATTTGTTTTCAGTATATTTTATTATCCTTCATTGACAACACAAGGTAATTAAATAAATAATTATTTAAAACAATATAGGTACAAAGTATTTATTTATTTTAGATTCTGAGTGGAACGATGAATGTATTGATTTTACAATGATGTGTGTTTTTTATTTTCTGTCTGTCATCACCTTTTAGGACAGTAAAAAGTTCGATTTTCTTCAACAGCAACTTTACTGATTGGAAAGTGAATCTAGTTGGTACTTTGGAGGGTCAAAAGTAAAAATTTTCCAGTAGTTTTCAAAAGCGACGTGAAAAACAAAAGAAAAATTAAGGAAAAACGGGAATTTTTACCCAAAATCGATTTTGGTTTTTGGTGTAACTCTAAAACAAATGGCCGTAGATATATGAAATTTTCACAGGTTGTTTATATTTGCATTTTCTATACACGGTAAAATTTTGAAAATAATTTGACTCTTTTTGAGATGTTTACGGACATTGTCAGTTTTCAATTTTTTTAGTTTTTTTTTCTATAAATATCAATAAAATTTTATTTGTTGGTTAAAAAAACTTGAAAATTTAATACAAGGCTCCTAGTATATTGTTTCAAAGGCAGATGAAAAAAATTAAAAATCCTTAGTCACAGTTTTTTTTTATAAGCATTTAAAGTTCAAATATTGACAAAATACGTAAAAACGACGAAAATTTGGAAATTATTTTAATTTAGAAATTCATAAAAAATTTTGTTTTTAAATCAAAGATTTTAAAATTTAATACAAGATTCCCCATAAGTTTGTCTACCTTTATCAAAAAATTTTTAGAAAAAAGTTTAATTAAGTTTTTATGAGCGTTTGAAATTCATATTTTTACAAAATTTGATATTCACTCGATTTCTCATGTAACGATTTTCTGTTTTTGTTGTAATTAACAAACGAATGACCGTAGATATATGAAATTTTCACAGGTTGTTTATATTTGCATTTTCTATACACGGTAAAATTTTGAAAATAATTTGACTCTTTTTGAGATGTTTACGGACATTGTCAATTTTCAATTTTCTTAGTTTTTTTTTTCCTATAAATACCAATAAAATTTTATTTGTTGGGCGAAAAAGCTTGAAAATGTAATACAAGGCTCCTGATATATTTTTACAATAGCAATTGTAAAATATTTAAAATACATAGGCACAATTTTTTTTTTATAAGCATTTAAAATTCGAATTTTGACTTAGATATATTGGTATTAATATGTCTTAAACTAATACTGACATCCCGTCTCTACTCAGAATCGTTTTTCTTATACAATGATATTGTACCATTGAATTCAAATTTAATTCCATCCATTATACAGTGACCCACTTGTAACCTACTGTACAGCAGAGCGACATCCACTTACCTGCTTTTTTTAGTATTTTATTTTACTTGAATTAAAAAGATAAAATGGGTTGAAATAAGCAATAAAAGTATTGATTGATGAAATTGATTACATTTTTGGAGATCTTGGGAGTGGGTCGTGGGTGCAAATATCTTATATAAGGTCTCCTGTAGTTCCATTTTGATGCGAATTTCATTGAACTGGCGACATTCTAGGAGTATGTGTTTGACCGTAATGACTATAATGAGTGTTCCGCACGTTGGGCATGAGGGTGGGTCTTCTTGGACCATGAGGTACCCGTGTTTCAGCCACAAAGCAATTTAAAAAATAACCGTAAAAATTGTAAAAAATAACAAGTATTAACGTGTGTACAGGTACCATAACCTATATTTATTTTAAATTACTCGTTTACATATTACATAATTATTCAAATGTGAAATCCTTCAGCATATCCATAATAAAATCCAGTAGGTATCTACATTGAAATACCAACTCAAAGAAAGAGACACGTGTTGCAAATTGTCAATGACCCTGCAACTCTCAATTATATAATATTATACATAAATGAATATATATTTTTTTTTATTTGGATTAAGACTGAAACTACTAAGGTAATTAGCCTGGTAGTTGGTACTGTGTGGCAGGGAACGGTTGGTTGTGTCACGTCTGTATGTGTGGCAAGGATATGTTGCTAAAAACCCGAGTGGTCACCCATCCGAGTGCTAGCAATACGACCAGCCGGTACGTACACCCAGAGCATTGTCGCAGATTGAGCTTACGACAGCGCCTCATCAAGCCACATATATGAATATGGTGTGATGAATAAAAATATTATTATATAAATAATAAAATTTTGTTTAAAAACTTTTTTAAATGGGTAAGACGGGTACAAAGTATAGGCAAGGGATTTTTTGTTGATACATTTGTCTTTATCAAAGAGTGTAAGTAGCATTATATATTATAGTATACAAACGAATTACAATTATTATCATAACAATTACTTCATAAAAAACTATCTTAAAAATATTTATTTTTTTATATAATATTATAAACTCTTATATCTACGTTAGTTAAGGCCAGTAATAATTGATAAGTTGTGTTAATAATAAACTAAAGAGAACAAATTTGAAATTTGACAAAAAACCGCATAAATCTATCTTAAGGTTTAGGTATAGTAGGTATTGTTAGTCGTTACACGAACGGAGATATTGTATTATAATAAATATGAGAACGTTCTAATTATTACGTACGGGGATAAAGATATGGATGAGTGGTGAGTAGGGGGTTCAATCACACTCTCTTAAATTTTCTTACAACGGAATAACAAACAAATTCTTATCACTATTAAGTTTTTATTTAAAAAAAAAATGATTTGTGATAATTATGAACTCTACCCACCCCCTCCACCACACAAAATGCATGCAGTCCATTATGCCACCAATCAACAAGGATAATACAATATTTTAAATGTACAATATTACCTAATATAAAATAAACTCCATGTATTAATTGTATATATATATATAGGTTTATTTTGTAGAGAAGTGGTCAATCGGTTGTAAATGTTAGTGTAAGTCAATTATTCAATTTTCAGAATTAAAAGCCATTTATAGTAGGTAGTATTTAAAAAATTCGAAATAGCCATTTCAACGATATACAGAACGCTTCCGTTGCCCTTTGGAGATGAATTATAATGTATATTATGTATTGTATTTAACATGTATATTATTTATAATATTCAGAGCTCAAATTGGTGGAGGGGCAAGGGGCAGAGATATCTTCGTCGAGTTCAATCATTGCAATGGGCGACGAACATATTTTTAGCGACTTACTAAAGCAACTCCTTTTATTTTTCCAATTCTAACACTGAATACTAATTATGATTATAATTTTATTATTATTGTCATCGTACGAACGAGACTTGAGGACGGAAATTTCGGTAACCAGAGAGATTGTTGTCTGCGTGATTGGACGTCGGCAGTCGTTCGCGATGTTGAAACGGCGGTGGTAGTGGTGGTTGAGGTGGTGCAGGTGGTTGTTAGTATTCGTCTCCATCGTCACCATCGCCGTCCGCCGAATCGGTGGCCACCTCCTCGTAGTCTTTTTCAAGCGCGGCCAGGTCCTCGCGGGCTTCGCTGAACTCGCCCTCCTCCATGCCTTCACCCACGTACCAGTGGACAAATGCTCGCTTCGCGTACATCAAGTCGAACTTGTGGTCGAGTCGGGCCCAGGCCTCAGCGATGGCCGTTGTGTTGGACAGCATGCAAACGGCCCGCTGCACCTTGGCCAGGTCACCGCCAGGCACCACCGTCGGTGGTTGGTAGTTAATACCCACCTTGAATCCTGTCGGGCACCAGTCCACGAACTGTATGGTCCTCTTTGTCTTGATGGTGGCGATGGCCGCGTTCACGTCCTTCGGCACCACATCACCCCTATACAGCATGCAACACGCCATGTATTTGCCATGTCGCGGGTCACACTTGACCATCTGGTTGGCCGGCTCAAAACAGGCGTTGGTGATCTCGGCCACTGTCATCTGTTCGTGGTAAGCCTTCTCAGCCGATATCACCGGCGCGTATGTGGCCAGCGGAAAGTGTATCCGCGGGTACGGCACCAGATTCGTCTATAGAAAACCAGATATACACAATCCTTTAGTATTTATGGAAATTGTCCTAAAAAGTAACCCGTTGGAGTCCTCCCCTCCGCTATCAGGTGTTCAAGACCTATTTTAAGTTTTCTTTCACACATCAGGTGTATTATCATTGATCAAGTTTGGGTACATGAAATACTTTTAATTTTGAATGAATATATTGTTATTGGGCCTATTATTAGAATTATATCTATTGACCATGATGACATAGATGAATTAAAAACTTGACAACAAAATATCGTTAATATTCTCTGAACAATAATGATAATACTACATAATGTGTCATACAAGAAACTTATTTATTATGATTTGTTTACTTGGAACTCTGTCAAGTCGACATTCAACGCGCCGTCAAATCTCAGCGACGCCGTAATGGAAGACACAATCTGGCCAATCAATCGGTTTAAGTTGGTGTACGTGGGCCGTTCAATGTCCAGGTTCCGGCGACAGATGTCGTAGATGGCCTCGTTGTCCACCATGAACGAACAATCCGAGTGCTCGAGCGTAGTGTGGGTGGTCAGTATGGAATTGTACGGCTCAACCACGGCCGTGGACACCTGTGGCGCCGGATAGATAGAGAATTCCAACTTGCTCTTTTTCCCATAGTCCACGCTCAGCCGTTCCATGAGCAGAGACGTGAACCCGGAACCAGTGCCTCCGCCGAAAGAGTGGAACACCAGGAAACCCTGCAACCCGGTGCATTGGTCAGACAGTTTCCTTATCCGGTCCAGCACGATATCCACAATCTCCTTGCCGATCGTGTAGTGGCCACGGGCGTAGTTGTTGGCCGCGTCCTCTTTGCCGGTGATCAGTTGTTCGGGGTGAAACAGTTGTCTGTACGTGCCGGTACGCACTTCGTCTGCAGCAACAACATACCATTATACGTGATGATTCATTACGTTACACATAATATATTAAACGTTACAACTCGTTATTACAGTGGAGAAATGCAGTGCTTGAAGGAAAGGGACTACGGATTTCTATGAGTAAACAGCGCCTCTGCAATATAATTTTGGATAACGTATAGGTAATTTAAAAATTAATGGAGTTAGGTATGTGATAAAGATGGTAAATGATGGTTCTATTGAGATTACAAGTAGATTTTATTAAAACAGCAGTGAGGATAGTAATGGTGTACGGATTGGAATATTTGGCAGTTAGCAGTGGGCAGAAAAACGAAACAAAGGGCGAGTGTAAGATGAGAATGTTAGTATGTATATGTAGAGTGACAAGGGAAGATAGAATAAAATATTAATTCATTATAAGTAGGTAGTGTAGGAGTTTCACAAATTTCAGACAAAAGGAAAGGAATAGGTAAAGATAGTTCGTTCGCGTTATGACTGTTATGAGTAGAGGTGACTGAGAGTGACTACGGAAATAAACGTAGAAAGAAAGAGAAGGTGAGTAAATGTCGATGATAAGAATAAGACCGACGAAGAGATGGACAGGAAGAAAAAAAATAAATCCAAAATATCTGAGGTGAATCATAAGAATACATGAAAATTTTGAAAAATACAATTTTATTAAAATAAAAATGCAGATAAATGGGTAAAGCACTAACTGTCCTGTACACTAAGTGTCTAGAGACTAGAGAATCACTGTAGTGGATGTGTTAAATTTGGGTTTAATAATCATTGATACAATAAACGATTCTGCGCGAATATAGTCTGTTAGCTTATATATACTCTAAGAGTTTCATATACTGTAAATATTTAAAAATAATAACAACTTAACTTAAGTCGTAATTTTTGGTTTTAATGTATAATTTTGTACACATTTGAACTTAAGATTTCAGTGAAAAATAATTGTGTTTATATATTTTTTTAGATTTTTTGGTTGCAGTATGAACTACTTATGGGAAACCTTGTTTTAAATGTTCAACTCTTGGCTATTGAAATTGAACATTATATCATTTTTTAACTACAAAAAAATTTCAACATTTTTTAGATTTAATTGAATTTCGTAAAAATGTTAACTTTAAATATTTATAAAAAAATTGTGGCTATGGTTCTTTAATATTTCTCAACTGCTATTGTAACTATTTATGAGAAATCTCGTATTGAATTTTCAAGCATTTTTACCCAATGGGAAATTATATTGATATTTGTAGAAAAAAACTAAAAAAATTGTAAAATTTCAAATATGTCTATAAAAACTCAAAATAAGTCAAAAAATGTTGTACATTTTATCATGTAAGTAAGGAAAAAATTGTTTACCGACAACAGTTGGCTCCAAATCAACAAACACAGCTCTTGGAACGTGTTTCCCAGCTCCGGTTTCGCTGAAAAATGTGTTAAAACTATCGTCTCCTCCACCGATTGTCTTGTCTGATGGCATTTGTCCGTCAGGTTGAATGCCATGTTCCAAGCAGTATAGCTCCCAACATGCGTTACCGATCTGAACACCGGCTTGACCAATATGTACTGATATACACTCGCGCTAAAAAAAAAAGAAATCATAAGTATAAAATAGGTAATATTAATGATTATTGTTTAATCGAACAAAACGTATAATAGACTTGTGGCGAATAAATTATAGCACCTTGTTTAGTAGTATAAGAGGTCTATAGGTCACCCTTGACTGAAATAGCTCACTTCCCGCCCTTGCCACACTGCAATATACTTTAATTTGCCATCTAATTTTTATCGTGTAATTGGCCAGATTGCGGTGAAGCCGTGGATCCACGGGGGAAGGGGAGCTAAAGGGGGTGAATGCCCCCCAAATCCTCAATACTGTATTTGTATTATACTATTATGATTTATGAATAATATGCACATAATAATATGCTCCAATTTTTTCTTTTATTATATATTCCTGGAGGTTAAGGGACCAACATACTATTTAATATTTTTACGTATTGTGTTACAATTTAGGTAGCTTAGTAGTAAGTACTAATATACAATTTTGCCCCCCCCCCCCAATGAAACATTTCTAGATCCGCCCCTGTTGCGGTGACAAGTTTTGAAAATGCTTGTGGTTCATCCGCATGATAAAATCAATAAATCAAAAAATTATTTAACCAAGTCACCGATCATCTGTGAAAGCACATATAGGGCTAAAGATGCTAAAGATCAGGTGATGAATGCTTAAGATAAGAGCTAAAGATCAGGTACTCGCAATTCCGTTGCCACCGCTGTCCACATCGTGTTAATTTTTTATAAAAAAATATATATTGATAGGTTTGGATGTTCGATTAAAATACAAAAATGAACGAAAATAATGATAATAAATAATAATGAATGGAAATACACGTATTGTTTTTATCCGAATTGTTCATTTTTCTTAATTACTTTTTTTTTCTTACTCTCGAACGGCTTTTTTTTCTGCAGTATAATATGCACACTCGACTATGGAGACGCGTTAAACCGTGTCTACGGATTTGGCGGGTTCTATTTTATATTATGGCGTTCTTATTACTATGCAGTTTAGGTACGTCGATGTCGACCGTCGTCGTCGAGTCGTGAGATGACTAGCGATCCGAAAAAGGTTCGACCGAAATCAAGAGAGGAGGCAATGGTAATAATATATACGACAGACGAGAGACATCATCGTGGAGAACGGAAGACTAAATATTATCGTAATTCCACCGTAACCGATAAAACGGGAGAACCAAATTGTGAATTACCTTTGGGATGCAGGAAACCGTCATACGACGCACAATACCTATATACAATATACATATTATATAAACATTAAACCTATATACACATTTAATACAAATCTAATATCGCAATCATACTGTCGTCTGCCGGACGGGAGCGGCGACAAAATTAGGTATAAATACTGATGCGCGCGCGAGGGCGTTTGTGTGTGTGGGTATACTCTGTCTCACTGTCGGATATTGTGAAAAAAATAAAATAATATAATATGAGGACAACGGCGATAATAAAAATGAGAAACGTCAGAAATCGCTAATGGAAACAATTACCATAATTATTATATTGTTATATTATATGTCGAGCATATTATATAATACATCGTTTGTATGTATAATAATAATAATATGTAATAATACAATATACATATAAGAACGAGAGACGTAGTTTATACCGGACGATAATATTATAGGCGTTGGGCTCGGTGAATAATTGCATGGGGACGACAGACGAACAACTATTAAGACGCGATCGTGATAATGATAATAATAATAAATATATATCTTTGTTTTTTATCGTATACAACTGTAGTATAAAAGCGCGTCTATACGACAAATGCTCATATAAACGATCCTTAGATGACCTGTTTAGACCAATATTGCAACACAAAGCTACATAAAAAAAAAAACGGGAAATGGGTAACGCTCTGCTGTACATTTGATGTCTAGAGCAGCGGTTCTCAACCTTTTTATAGTCGCTTACCACTTACACAATTTGAAAATTTTTACGTACCACCTGACCATTTTTTTTTTTTTGCTCATTAATAATGTATACGTTTATGTTATATGTATGCATAGAATTTTATTTCATTAGGAATTACAAAATGAGATAATATAAAATATATAAATATATAATAAAAAATAAAAAATAAAGTATTTAATTGAGTATTTAATGCACAGAAAGAAAAAAACTTAAAAAAAAAAAATTAAATATGTAAAATTATTATAATTATTATGGTTTACTTTTTAATTCACTGAGACGATTGGTGTTGTTTTGAACGGACGATGACGTCAATATCGGGCTCCAAATTGCTAACTTTAAGTCTTAAATTATTTTCTATGTTTAATCTACTTCTATATGTATTTTTTGTGTACAATAAGTGAGAAAATGTATTTTCGCACAGATATGTTGATACAATAGGGATTAGAAACTGTAAAGCTTGTGTGGACAATGTCGAGTATTCTTGTTTCACGTCCAGCCAAAAATTAGTGATATTTTTGGTTTTGAAAGTGGTTTTTAGGGTAGAGTCACTGGTTAAGTCAATAAATAATTCTTTTGCCAAAATACCTTACAATCTATACTATTACAAACGACCTCCACACCATCAAATAAACATTAAATAAACCAAATAATATTTAATTTTAATAATAATTCGTAGTAATTTTTTTTAAGATTTTCTTCGCGTACCACCTATGAGCTCTCCACGTACCACTAGTGGTACGCGTACCACAGGTTGAGAACCACTGGTCTAGAGACTAGAGTGTCATTAATATAGATTTGTCAAGTTTGAATTCAATAATCATTGTATACAAAAAACGATTCCGAGCAAAAACGCTAAGACGGTTTGTCAGCCTATAATATTGCTACGTACATTTATTATATTATTAAAATTAAATTAATTTATATAATATATATTATAACATTTATAACTATTGAGCATATAATGTACTACAGTAAGTTAAATTAAATTTTGACAAAAAATTGCATTTGAAAATGTCATTGTGTGCATACTGTATACAATATAATAACAATACAATAACAACTCTAAAAGTTTCAAAATCTCAAGTACCCACGAATAATATTTTTAAATTGCCACAGTATATTAAAAAATAATTTCGTCAAAATTTGAACTTAAAATGTCTATAAAAGTCGATTGTGTTTATATATGTTTTAAATTTCTTGATTACAGTATGAACTATTTATGAGAATCTTTTTTTTTAAATTCTTAATTCTTAGCAATACAAATTAACATTCTATAATATTTCAGCTATACAAAATAATTTTAAAATTGTCGAGATTTTGATGAATATTACAATTTTAACTTTTAATACTATAAACGTTTTAAGTTCTGAGTGGAGCGATGAATGCATCGCTTTTATAGTGATGTGTCTTTAAAAAAAAAATGTATGACTGTCATTACTTTTTGAGGCAGTAAAAATGTGTCGATTTTCTATTTAATCATCTTTTCTAGTAGGAAAGTGAATCTAGTTGGTAATTTGGGTGATCATAAAAATAAATTACGTACCCGCATGTTAAACAATAAACGTATATTATTAAATTATAAATAAGACATATCCTGAAAAAAGGTTTTTATAGAAAATTATTATGAATAATTGTGCGGGCATTGCTGTATGGGCATTACTGCATGCGCATTAACTGACCGGGTATAGAATATATACACGGATGGGTGCCTGTGTACGCTTTACCTACACGGATGGGTGCCCGTGTACGCTTAATCTACACAGGTGCCCGAGTATCTAGAAACAGCTTATAATATATTGGGTGGGCCTGTCAAGGTAATTTCCCTGCCTAAATGTTTAGCAATCCTTAGGATTTTTTTTAATCAACAACCATCTATATCTGAATAATCACTGACTTTAGACAACGATTTATTATTGGGTGAATTTTTGTGGGGGAACAAGGCCCGTGTTCCTCTATTGAATAGAGTCTATTCGATTTCCCTTGCATGACACCCGTATTCTGCAGCACTGCATATGAAGCTGATAGGTGGATAGTATGAACATTGAACATGACATCGAAAAATATTATTTTCAAAACATGACTTCGTAAAATCCGTAAGGAATCCGTAAAATATATATGCTTAATGATTTTATTGTGTTTATTAATAGATGAATTCCTAATGTAATCACACTGGGTTTTAAGTGGTTTTTATATACATTTAACATACTATAACTAGGTACAGGTAAAATATAAAATATAAACCTACATAAAAAAAATAATAACCTATGAAAATCATTGTTTTTCTAAACTAAAAAAGTCCGCAACGACCAGTTCTGTCTGTAATACTTTTTTACTACCCTTTAAAATGTATATTATTATTTAAGTAAACTAAATGTATATTAGGATTTATAATTAAATTATAAAATTAAAAAATAAGGGTAGTGCATTATTAGTTCATTAATTAGAATGTTTAGAACATAAAAAACTCAGATCTTATTATTATCTAGGTAATTTACAATAAATAACAATTAATAACAATATTAACAGTTTCAATTTATTCTATGTTTATAATAAGAAGTAAGTTTTTGTCAGTTTTACCTTTTAACTGTGGTAATAGCAAACCATTCTCCATCATTTTTATTTTAAAATCTTAAGATATTATATAACTAAGTGCTCACGAGAATTAAAAAAAAAAATCTGAGGGATATGTCCCCATATCCATATCCCACCCCCATAATTACACCACTAATATTGGTTATTTTAACCTATAAATCTCGGTGAATCGTGATGTCACATAAAAAACGCCATGTTGTTTACTTATACATGCTACTTAATAAATTGTTTTCTTTAATACTCTAGATACTATTTTAATACAGTGCATTGACATTAACCCTTAAAAAAAGCCTAAACGTTTATGTCCCTAAAATAGACAACACCCTATATTTAATATTATGTCATTATCATTAGTCCACACCCAATTCATTTCATAGTGAAGAATGTATTGCTATCGATAGAATTTCAATTTAAGTATTTCTCAATTTATAAAATCTTATGAAAACGTAAGTGTATAACTAAAAATATTCTACACAATATGTGTACAAGTCACAAGTGTCTACAACTACTACATTATATGTATATGGTAGGCGGACAAAAGCCCACGGAAAAAAAGCCCAGAAATATAAATATAAGTGTCTACAACCAATAACGATGATAATTATTTTGTTGTAATTCAATTTATAGGTATATATAATATTTAGATTATAATACTAATATTTTAGTTTTATTTTTTTTTTTTTTTTTTTTTTATTGATCTTAAGCTTCGGCAACTGAGGCCATTAGCTGTAGGTTGTGGTACTGTAGGGTTTTTGGGACTGTTGGGTTACTGTAGGGTTATGGAACACGTGTGTGTTTGTTTGGTAGAATTTCTAGTGGGCACCCGTAGGTTTCTGCCATACCCGGTTGGGGGATGGCGGCCTCTCTCTCCAGACACCGTGACTGCCCGGAGAGAAGTGCCACCCGTGACCGAGATTCGAACCGGCGACGGTGCGCGTTGCGACCGACGCGTTATCCACTCGGCCACTCCGTCCCCCAGTTTTATTATTATTTTAAATTTTTTTACTTTACTTATATACTACATACATACACTTATACATATATTATTCTACTTTTATTTTTGTATTTGATTACTTACAGTAATAGACAGTATAGGCACTCGTTTCACTGACATTGTAAAATGATGAACAAATATAAACACGATTTTTTAAAGCATATCTTCAAATATTCTCCCCTCGCTTCTCAAAATTAAAACCCAATTTTCTTATTCGAGTCTAAATACATTCAAATTATACAGGTACAATGTAATAATAACTACCTAATAATTATTATATGGAGTATTAAAATATTGTCATTTAGCAAAAATTATTCACCATTGGTATAGTGCACACGTACAAGGTTTTAAAGAAAATATGTATTTCTAATTGTAATGTTCATATTAAAATATTATGATCAAACTTTTAGATAATTATAAGATAGTTAGTAGTACTATATAGTTGAAGATATTTTAGAAAATTGAAACAAACATATGTATCTAATCAAAATAAAAAAAAACAGAATACTGAACTCCAAAAAATAAAGAGACGAAAAAACACCTAAAATATTATGTATAATGTGTAATACATTATATTTATATTCCATTGTAAATACTTTCTAAATATTATAATTTATGACTAATATTGTTCATATTATTATTTCTGTCGCTCTTCAGTTGTCATATTAAGAAACTTGAGACCTAATACACATGCAATCCTTATCGCTGCTGTGTTTCTTCCCAATAGACATATCCGTTCGATATAAAGGGATTGTTTTTCTCTATTATATAGGTACTTTCGATATTGAAAGTACGCATAGAGCCCCTTTTGAAACCCAATATATTTATTAATACAGCAGCTAGTGCTCGATGAAACAAAAACATTTCACGCCTATTTTGCTTTTATGTGACTTATCGTAGATGACTAAACAACTTCTTTTTCTCGTTGTTTTCTCATTTTAATGAAACACAATAATATACATTCGCCTGTTTCATTATTGCAAAACAAATTTACTTATATACCTACTCAATACTAAATAGTAAATAGGCACTGTGAGTGCGATCAAAATAGGTACATAATACCAAGCTATTATTTATTATTTTTTTTTTTTAATTCTTTTCGAAAAGTACATTTTTCTATTATTATTTTTTCTAAAGAACTATTTACGAAATATTATTATAATTTATAGTCATTTATAAAACCTGAAACATTTAAGTGCATCACTTATATACAGGAGCTACGAAGTATACAAAAAATGTTACTTAGAAAAATTAGTTTATAATAATTCTATACACCATTCAGTATTCACTAGGGATTGTATAGGACTTTTACAATGAATTAAATTAAAATAAATAAGTCAGAATATAATTGATTTTTACGTCATCGATAGTGTTAATCGTGTGTATAATCACTTTAAAGGAAGTTTCATTACTCGTAAATGTTTAAATATGTATTATTATGTACAATGTATTTGTACTTATGGCTTACCTACATGTAATATACATATTACTAAGTATATTTCTATTTGTATACTGATATTCAAAATAAATACCACGAGGATTATAATTTTTTAACTATATTTTAGTTAGAGTGATACCAATAATGAAAACTAAACCAAAAATAAGTCGTAGAAAGAACATTCCATTAAAATATTACACCCATAACCACGAAAAATAACTGCTTTATATGATTACATCTCAATTTAATACCCACAAAAATATTGATGGCTTTAAGGTGTCGTGCAAAGCAGTTCTACTTCAATACAATATTTTTTTGATAATAGTCTATACTGTCTATAGGTATCCGCAGGTGTCTTAATAAGAAAAGGTTTTGTTCTTAAACCAGATTTACACCATTAGGTATATCACATTAGTTACTAATAAAAATAATAGGGAACCCGATTAAAATAAATGGATAAGATTAGAATAAATCAATTTTTGCATTTATAATTGAAAATAAAGTAAATATAGTCGATAAAATTCTATAAACTAATACATTTTACTGTTCTAGTTAAGCTTATTACGTTAAATCTCAAATATAATGTAGTAAATCAAATTTGAATAAAATACTTTAACTACGCCATATTTTATGTATATTTATGTTTAACAAATTGGTCTTAATGAATACTTACAAAACAGAACCTTTCATTTTATATTTTTTAAAAGTTGAACTTTAAGACATCCACGGGGCTTTTCCTAAAATATTTTTAAGTTTTTGATTGACAAAACACTTTATTTTTAAAAAATGTTTCCGTCGTTGTAATATATTACCGAATTTCCTTGGATATAGTTGGATTCGTTTTATATTTATTCCACCTTCAATAAAATTGGTACATTCAATAAGGAACAATATTTTCTGAAATAATCTAGCTCTTAACCGTAGACCTTCTGTTATTTTACCTGTTCCCACGACATCAGCTATAGAATGTAAAGCACTATAGCTCTTTTATTACTCAGATTTAATGTGGTGTGATGGCATATACGTCCAATACGCTCACGGTGTCCACCGCAATTATTAGCGATTTGTTACACACGCACATGTAAGCATATCTGTATGACAGGCTGTTGATATAATGTGTAACGACAATAATCAACATAAAATGTGTATGTGTGCGTGTACCTATAGTGCGTACTTATACTCTACGACGGGGTTCGTTCACTCATGTTGAATCAATGGTTTTTATTTAAGTCCAGAGAAGATATTATGTATGAGAAATGTATAATATAATACGTGTTTTTATTTTACTTTCCTTCACCTGCAGGGCCCATAAAAGTGGATTTACAGAAACAACGAATCTATAAAAGGAAGTGAAAACCGCAGATGTGCAGCATTAAATGTATATAGGTGTGTACAATAATATGCTGTCCATTGCAGACGACGAACGGTCAAATCGATTAGCGACGGTTTTAGTGTAAGACGTAACCGGTGTCCCGAGAAATGACAATTTTCCCAAATGGAAAGCGCGAGGTAAAAAAGACGAAGAAAATCGTGACTAATGTCGTCGAGCGTTCCGGAACGCCGGCGACGCAACGATTCAAAAGTCTCTCAGATAAAATTTGAATGACGGGAAAAACAATAATAATAATTATAATAAGAAAAAAAATAAAAAAAATAAAAAAAAATAAAAAAAAATCTAATATCCGCTTACCATTTTCGACGGTCGTTTGCAGCGGTTTCGATCTCAACAGTAAATTGCTATGTACCTAAATAGGTTTTCGGTGACGGAAAAGTATACGCCAAGTATCACGATTTGGTTGATGTGCTCCCGTGTGTCAAGGCAGTGGTGGCGTTCGAAGTTGTTTCGTACGGACTTAACGGAAGACACTGAGACGCGTCACTTACCGTGCTCGCGTTCTTATATAGGCGCGACTACCGCCACCGCCGTGCGCGGGGACCGTATGGCGTATATACGGGTATGCGTCTTGGTCGGTTGCACCCGCGAGACAGTGGCCCCTTCCACCGCCCTCTTCACAGTATAATAATAATAATGAAAAAAAACCGCGGTTTGGATGTTAATGTGCACTTACTCCGGTTATACGTGCACCATTGAACCTTGTACTTTAATAACAATAATACAATAATATTATAAATATTATGTATACCCATTACCCACCCACCATTCACTCTCTGGTAGGGTTGCTTACATCACTTGCGAGTCCGGCCATCATCAGCCGATGACCACGAATGGATTATACCTCGAACGATTTTCATGTGAATTATAATTTTTACTTCTGTGATTTACATTTATTTATAGGTAGGTTGTAGGTAGTGCCACGGCTACCACCGTCCCATACAAGACGCAGATTATATTATTCCAAAAGATCAGTATTTATTGTTTCCTCATATAAGCCATTAAATGATTGTCTTTGAAAGACAGAGCCATTACTTTGCATAAGAATTTTTGAATTACCTATCATGAATTACTTAAGTCACCGATACCATATAATTATATACATTTTACTTTTTCAGTATTATGCATTTATAACACAAAATATGTTGTGTTTGAATTATGTACTATGAAATCCAAGTGTAATATATAATTATTATTGAAGGAATTACTTGATAAAATAGATATTGTGCAGCATTAAAAAATGTCATTATCCTCAGATTTGCGGTTATTTGTTAGGAGTTACTAATTAATGGTTAATTTTTAAATGGTGACTTTATGTCAAGCCATTTCTAATAATGTTGTAAGTTTTTTGTTTACTTGTATAGAATAGGTTAGGTTAGGTACTATAGGTAAATAATAATCATATACATTGACTATATATTTTTACTAACTTACTATTTTTACTTTTACTTGACTTGACATTTTTTTAATGTACATTCTTATAATTATAATATTTTAAATTAAATTGAACAATTCAGATTTTCTTAAAAAAGTTAAAATTAGGAAGGCGCTGTCTGCGTTTGGTCTGTCATGGGTGTTGGGAATGCTGAGTTTGTCGAGTTCATCTGTGTACTGGAAGAATTTCAAGCATTCTGTAAGCATATGTTAACCCATAGTTCGGTACCGCAGTGTCGATAGGATTTTCATTATTTGCCATGAGGTATCCATGCGTTAGTCGAGTGTGTCCGATTCATAGTCTGTTTATTATTATTTTTTCTCATATTTTCGTGGAGGCAGCCGAGTTAGGTCAACTGAAGATGAAGTTTTTAATTTTTCTTAATTTGTTGTTTTGTTCAAGCCAAGTCAGGTTACCAGGTGTGTTTGCCATTTGATTTAAATCAGTTCTTTAATTTGTATTATACAATAGGTGTTTTATTTAAATTAATACAATAATTTGAAGTCCATTTTGCGACCATTTCTACACGAAATTAGATTAGAAGCAGGGCCTCCTGTAATATTTGGTTACAATTTTTTTTAAATTGAATTTAAACTAGGTTGAGTTATGTTACTATGGATAACATTATTGTCATTTATTTTGTTTACTAAATATATCTACATGTACATCGAATATCCATACTCAAAACATAGTTAGTAACTGTCAGTTACATTTCGGTATTTTAGAAAGAGTCAATTACCATTTAATCGTTATTTAAAGTCTACTCACTGTATTAGGTATGTAAGTACCGATAGTACCTTGCACCTATTACTAATCATAGAATAAAAATATATTTTAAAACAAATTATACCTGATAAAAATCCTAGGTTAATCATTTCGATTGTATTTTTATCATTATATATTGTTAGACACTATATCGTGTGTCCGAGGAAACAGAGGACACTTTATCACTCATTATCTTGTAAATAATTTTCAATTCTGTTTGAGAGTCATTCAACTAGTGATGGGCAAACCAAGACCAAGACTATGACAATCTTGGTCTTGGTCTTGGTCTTGGTCTTCCACTTCAAGCCTTGGTCTCGCTGCAAGACTCTTAAAATATAAAAAAAAAATAATATCCTTATTTATGCTATAAGTTTGTAGAATTTGTTAATTGTTTATTATCTCTAAGATATAACAATATTAGTACAATATATACATATATATTATTATACGACTGTTATTAGTATTATATTCAATGAAGAGAGGTATTTATGGCCCTAAACAAATATTGTGGCTTATAAATATACCTTATCGACTGTATCGGTGACTGGTCACTGGTGTTTTTATTAGTATATATTTTTTTATTTTTTATTATTCAAACGTATAAACCTTTTGTGACTAAATACACGGTGATAATGATCGATAACATCGATAAAGTTAATTGAAAAAAAAAGATTAGAGAAATAAATATATCTTATTTTATGGCCTACAGATCACTACGTCTATCGTCTGTTCATTTTTGTGTGTTTACCACTAACCGAGTCGTTTGTGCGTGAGTACGTAGTTTGTTATTCTTTTAATTGAATTACATTTTTATTTAACTAGTTATTTACTGTTTTCTCGGTAGATCACACGCTTTACCAATACCTAAAATAAATATTATTATTATCTTAACCAATAAAAATAAGTTATCGTATTTAAATCTAGCACGAGACAGCGGGCGACCCAAGACTTTTTTTCATGATATTATCTACGATTAACTGATTCTAAAAATATTAATTTTATTAAAATCCAAGAAATAGACCTACTTTTATGAATGTAAACATTTACGATATACTATGTAAAAATGGTATGACATGACACTCGCTAGTACGACTTAGGTCGCTGGCGGGCTTGTGGCAGTCAACTTGTTAATTGTTTGTGCTCTGAGCTCGCACATCAACATTTGATCAAATAATTTCCATTAAGTTTCTGTATTGCTATTTATTACAAAACCACTTTAAAGTGGTATCCAATTATTTCTTATCTTATTTTCGATTATTCAATAATTCGTTATTTCCTCAATTCCTGGAACATGTTGTACGTCAAATTTTATGTTTTAAGTTTTTATTATATTCCTAATAAATTATTTAATTTGACCTACCCTAAATTACGTGTTTTCTGTTAAAACTTTTAAAAAAAAAATTACAATAAATATTGCAAGACTCTTGCAGTGTGGGTCTTGTTTTGGTCTTGGTCTTGCAAAGCTATTCGTAGTCTTGGTTACAGTCTTGGTCTTGCTGCATTGCTGCAAGACCAAGATAATTTTGCCCATCGGCCATCACTACATTCAACTAGACTAATGGATCATAAATTTCTAAGACTTATAATTTTTTTAATTATTTTGCACATGTGCAACACAACTTCATTTATTTTAAAAGGTAACACCTATTTTCAATTGATCGTAGGATTGATCGCATTTTTTTTTCAAATAATTTTGATCAACCAACTTGTAGTTTAAACCAAAAATTGGCGAAGTTAGTGCTAAGAAATTTTTTTAAAAAAATAAATAAATTTACTAAATTTGATTTTTATTTTTTAACTGTAAGTACATATATTTTCTTTCTAAATACCATAATTATTAATTACATAACGAATAATAATATAATAAAATACTAATTTATAAAAATGCATTAATTCATTACTTTAATAATTTAATCATAATAAGTTTGATTGTATCGTTTAGAAGGAAAACAAACAAATATGCAATTAAAAAAAAAAATCAAATTTAGTAATTTTTTTTTAACTATAGGTACCTAGCACTAACTTTGCCAATTTTGGATTTAGAATACAAGTTGATAGATCAAAATGATTTGAAAAAAAGCGATCTATCAAAAAATGATATTCAAAATAGATTTTTCATTTAAAAGAAATAAAGTTGTGTTGCACATGTGTAAAATACATGAGTTAAAATAATTGTAAGTCATAGAAATGTATGATCCATTAGTACTCTAGTTGAATGTCCCTCAAACAGAATTGAAAATTATTTACAGGATAGGTAATGAGTGATAAAGTGTTCCTTGTTTCCATGGATATAAAAATACTTGTGTCCGCTGCGACGCAGCCGGTCGTGGTTCGATCCTCGGCTACCGGGCGGCATTTTTCTCCGGACAAGTCGCGGTGACCGGAGAACAAGTGCTGCCATCCTCCACCCCCGGGGCATGGCAGAAACCTACGGGTGCCCCATTCGAAATTCTGCCAAAACAAACACACACGTGTTCCCCCCTACCGTCCCAAAAAATATACAATACAAAAACCTACAATACAAATCCTNAAAAAAAAAAAAAAAAAAAAAAAAAAAAAAAAAAAAAAATACTTGTCTCCGAGCTCATAAACATCAATGATCAAACATATCCATTACAATGACTTTTTCAACGATGAGGTTAGTAGGTACACTCAAACTCTACTCACTATACCTAAACAGAGTGAGTTTCTGGATTTTTTCATATTAACTACACCTTACCTAACCTAACCTAACTACAATTTTGACTGAAAAGAATGATCAGATATTTATTGCCAAGAAAAATTCCTAATGAACTGTTTAACACTGCAGAACGATGATTGTGGTATTTTTCAGTTCTATCTATATACAGACCGCCGTAGAAAATACTATGATGGCCCATCGGCCATCCTGCAGTACATTAAATTATTAACACATCATTTTGTAGAAAATTATTAAAGATAATACGTTAATGGAAGGTATACTAATCATTATACACATTATTAGTGGGTCGACTACCACTCCCCCGAGCAAGGACAACCTATTGTAATTTACAAAGCACAATTTAATTTTATTGCCAAGAACCAATAATATAATATTAATTTTATTGCCAAGAACCAATAATATAATATTAAATTTATTTTTAACAATAAATTTAAGTATTGAACCTTTTATGACAATAGTTAGGTATCATTTTTTATACGTCTGTGTTTAATTTTTAAACATATTTTGCTAGTTTATAATATATAACATAGGTACCTACATTTTAAAAGGTACTAATGTCGTATTATTTTCCTTTCAATACTCGTTTATATTCGTTTTTTATTATTTTTTTTTTATAATTTGTAGATACTTA